CCTGAAGGTATTGGCTTCTGCAGCACTGAGTGTATTAGCAGAACTGACATAGAACAGGATTAGGGGATTCTTTCACCTTCTTCCTGTAAAGGTGCAGGATGATTAAGCTCATGCAATCCCAGGGATCGTAACAAAGGAAGATGCTTCACATGATTGTCATGTATAGGATGTAGCTGTCGATACAGCCATTAAATTTGAGAGTAGAATTGCAGTAATTTTTTGTGTTGTAGAGAGAGATGTGTATTTCAGACAGCTGAACTTGGTGCCTTACCAAGTGCAAGATTTAGAACAAGTATTCTCACTGAACTGAGCCTGTCAGGCTTTTGGGAGGATGAAGAAAAGTAAAGCTATACAGGCTTGCTTTTGGGCAAGTTAATGGTATGTTATATATGATTTTAAAATTCAAGAGACAAAGCAAGTTAAAGCAAGTTCCTCTTGTTTGGTGGTGATGTTTAAAATTCACTTTGCTTCCTTGCTACCACAGATACTAAATTTCATTTTAAGCCCTCTATTGCAAACACTTTTCTTATCTTTTAGAACTCTGGATCACTGACATGTTAGATTCTTGAAATGACAAATTTTTCATATCCAAAAGTGCAAATGTTAGAGTATTGTAGTGTTCAATTATTTGTTCTACACAACACAGGAAATGGTGGTGTCTGAATGTTCGAAAATAAAAAATGGGGGGATTTACAGGAGGTTTCTAGAAAATAGTTTGATTTAGATTACTTTCAATGAAAGTGATTCTTCATGCTTTCTTCTTTCTTAATTATTATAAAGGATTGGTTGAGAGGGCAGATGACAGTCTGCTGGCTTTTAAAGGTTACTAAGCCTGTGGATTTTACTGGCACTTGAGCTGCTAGTGGTAGAAAATGTTTGCTGCTTCTAAGCTGCCTTTGGAAAATTTGGCCTCTAATAATGGGAAACAGTCTGTCAGTTGTGTAATCACAACTAATGCTGTTCTAAGTAGCTGTACTAGTGTTTTATGGTCACCAAGCTAAACTTTAGCTTTAAGAATATTTTCTGTTTTCTGGAATCCTGATACTTTTGTTAATATTAACTCCATGGGGTTTTTTTTCCTCTAAAGGCAGCTTGATACAGGTGGAAAAACAAGTGGTGAATAACTGACTAACAATTGCAAATAACGTGTACTAAAGTGTAGCTACTTGTTGTTTATTCTTCAGTATTTATTGAATGTTCATGTAGGGTGTATATATGACCCTTAATAAAGATCTGATTCTGCTGTTTAATTAAATGGACAAAGTTGGAAAGCCATCTGTGATTTGAAATCAATTATTTGGCATGTGTTTATAGCTGCAAAAGTATTCACCTTCAGAAGCTTGTATATTAGGCCTTTGAGATGTCTTGTTCCATTAGGATTTACTTCATTACCAAGATTTGAGTGAGCAAGAATGGTCTCTTCCCAGCCTTCTCTGAGTATTTAAGCTGGTTAAAATATCTGCTTTTTGTAAGTAAAGGAGGGTAAAAAAATTTTTGGGACTGAGAAAATGAATATTAGAAGGTCTGTTAGGAAAATTACTTAAGTTTTTTTTGTATGTGGTATGAAAAGGATGAACTAGAGTCTGTCTATGATGGGGATTTTGCAAAAACTAGCAAATAGAAAAGAAATAAAACTGGTTGAAATTTGTTCAGATGGTATGCTAAGGATTTTTAAATAAAACCACCCCCACACTTTCAATCTAGTATGATTGAGAAATTAAAGAAAATTAAGAACTGTCACTGTGATTTTAAATCATAATACAGTAGCCATGTGTTTGAATGTATGTTCCTACCATTTAGCTGTGAAAAAATGGCTCAGTTGTGTACAAGGAGAGATGATTATTCTTTTGCCTTGTAACTGCAAATACAGGTTGTTCTAATATTAAGAGTGAGAGCAGGATGTTTTGTTTTAACAACATCACAATTCTAAAAGTATTGTAATTTAGAAATGTCGCATTTAAAAGTCTCTTACTGATGTCAAAATTGTGTCACTGTAGCTTTAGAAAGCAGGCTGAAGATTATATAACATTGCAAGGAAACAGCCTTATTGTTAAGGATGAGAAAGCTTAGCTAGGATATACTTAGATGATAGATCCTGCCTAGGAAAAGCTGTATTAATGTGTGTGTTCCTGGAATCTTCTGTCACATTTTGCTGCTTGTATTTTTTTTTTTTCCTTTAGTTAGCAAAATTAAATGTAAGTAGAGCTCTTACAGAGGATGTAATGGAATGTCTGAACAGTGAGATCCAATGTGTATTCTTCTAACACAGTAGTTTTTCTAAATGAGTTTCATCAGTTTTGAAATTGTTCCCATGGCAGGAGTGCAGGGCTTTATTCTCTTTGTATTTTGTGTGTTTATTAGCAGGCTAAATTCTTTCACTGCATTCTGTGGCAGAAGGGTTTGTGTTCACAAAGCTCCCAGTCTGTCCTGGTGCTGATACAAAGAGTCTCTAGAAGTGATGATGCTATGAATTGTAATTGTATGTGTGCTGCTGTAAACATCCTGCCTTTGTGCTGCCTGTGCAGGGAGGTGTGATGTCACTGCTGTCCTGTCACCGGGCACTGCTGTGCCCACAGCCCTCCCTGGGGACGAGCCCCTGCCTTCGCTTGGGGAGAGCAGCAAAAGAGCAGCAGTTACATAAAACATCCCCAGTACTGAATATGGTGAGAGCTGTGCAGCTGAGAGAGATTATAGAGACAAAATCACTGCATGGCAGCTCTCTAGTGAAAGGCCCACAATAATGAGGCTTTTTAGCCACTGACAATTAATAGGAAAATAACTGCTATTTTCGGGTTCCTCTAATGAAATGTCTTTGAGAAGCCTGTGTTCCTTACATGACACAACAGCTCAAACCCACCTCTTATCTCTGTAGCATGCAGATACAGAAAAATAGCTGACTTAATTCTCTCAACTGAATTAGCTAATGTGAAGTTCAGTTGCTTGACCTTACAAACCACAAGCTTAGCTTTAAGTTGCCTGCTGTGGTTATTACAAACCCATGAGCCTTTTTATATCTCAAGTTCAGAACGTTTGAAGTTCATGTGTGAATTTTGTATTTCAAAATATAGTGACTCATATCCGCATGGAAATCAGCTGTTCCAAAAATATGGATTACTTACAGATCTAAGGAAACTTAATTCCATATATATTTTTAATTAAATGAATATATTTATTGGTAAGTCTGAAGAATTAAGAATCATGCCAACAAAATTGAAGTTTAATTGAATTTGTATTTTAATTTTAAGCATCTGTTGTGAAGAAGCTGGTATGTGCAATTAAGTAATCATATTCCAAAAATCTAAAACTTGAAATATTTTCTGATGCAGCTGAGTAAATATGCTTTCAGTGTTAAAGAAGAGCCTTTCTGAGAAGTGTGCTCTTCCATTCATGTTTCAAAAGCTAGATCAGACTAAAAATTTGAATGGTTAATAATTTTTAATAGTCATTCATGTGTGCTATACACTAATAATCCAGGCAGTATTGAGTCTTTGTAGGTTTTCTCACCTGCAGGAGGGCTTGTTTTCAGGGCATGAAATGGGGTGAGTGTAAACCATGAGTAAGAGCTGTCACTCAGAGCAGGAGGCAGCAGCACATTCAAGTAGCCACTGCAGTGTATTTAAACTCACAGTGGGATTGCTTGATCATCACATCTGCACTGTCAGTCATGTCCCTGGCTGATGACAGACACGCTGCAAGTATTTTGCAGAAGATAATTATGTAGGCCCCTAGACTGGAACAGATACTGGTTGCAATAAGGAGTGTCCCACTGTGGGGTTGTTCCTTATATTCTTCAGGTGGAGAAATAGAATTTTCAGAAAAAATTTAATATAGACAGGGAAGAGTTGAGTTCCACTTTCTAAGCCATCTTCAGATTCCAGATAAAGTTTAGAAGAGAGGACTAGCAGGTGTAGGTCTTCTATAAGTCTTTGCAATTTATAGACTTGTATAGGTCTAGACTAATATAATTTTAAAAATATTTGATTAAAAAGAAAGCCAAAAATGCCTGTTATCAGAATGGGGCATGTGCAGTCCAAATGTGACTGTATCTGGAGAATATTTTTATTCTATTGAGTCTGAGGATTGTAAAGAAATAGATGTCTTGGTGAATCTTGGAAGGGATGTTGCTTGTTCTTTGTATTTCTTGATGGGAATATTGGTGTGATCTAAAGCCATAGTAGTAGTGTTTACCCTACTGCCTTTCTCTTAACTTCATGAGCTGGGTGGAAAAGTTTGGGTCTCAAGACCAGCTGGGTCAAACAAGGATTCAGGCAGTGGGGCCACAGTTAGCAGAGATTCCCTTGTGCTGTTCCCCCTGCACATCTGGATCAGTGTGCAATGGGAAAGGCTTGAGGTGAGAAGGTTGCACCAGTGCAGAAGACTTCACAAGTAGGTTGCATATTATTAAAAATGAGTGAGATGTTATCAATACAAAACCTGAAGTACCTTTAATGAAGTTTAGCTCCTAAAAATAACAGTTTAGAAACCCAGTGGCAACAGGGAATTCAGCCTTGTTTCTCCCACAGACATAGAGGTTAATCTGTTATGTGAAACTGAGGAGAAAATACACTCTTCTCCAGCACTGTGTTGTGTGAAGGAGGAGGGTGATTACACCTCATCGGTAAGCCTGCCTTAGCTGTAAATCTTGGCAAGCTGGACTTCCTTCCTAGATCTCTGAGATCTTAGACCTTAGTTAATCAAGAACAGATATTCAAAGGTCTCTGCTTTGTGGGGGAACAGCACAAGGGAATCTCTGCTAACTGTGGCCCCACTGCCTGAACAGTGACCCAGCTGTTCTTGAGACCCAAACTTCTCTGTCCAGTTCATGAAGTTAAGAGAAAGGCAGTAGGGTAAACACTACTACCATGGCTTTAGATTACACCAATATTCCCATCAAGGAATACAAAGACAAAGTGAAGTGTAGTATAATGTGCTTTGAAGTGAAGATGAAAGATGTGAAAAGTTTGTCTTTTTCATAAAGATACTGGGCATATAATGTATTCCTTTAACAAGTTTTTAGCTATGATTTAGAAAAAGAATGTACATAAACTTGAGGGGATTGAACTTGTTAAAAAATAAGTTTTTGCAGAGGCTTCAGTTTACAGGTGGGATTTTAGACCTCTTTATCTAGAACTTCTCTGGAGTATGGTGTCAGCCTGCTTTGCCAATGCTGATGTCCTTTTGTCATACGGCTTTGTTTATGGGGTTCAGCACTTCTGATAGATGGTCAGTTAGGAAATATGCTTTATTAAAAGCCAATTCTGACATGCTTTCTTCATGTATTTTTCTCATTTTCAAACCTTGCCTGTTAACTGTTGAAAAATGAAGCATAATTTTTTGTCTCTGGAATGAGAAAGAGGGATTTTTTTCCCTTTTCAACTGCAGTGAGGGAAATGAATGAAAGTTCCCTCATTTTGTAAGAAGATAATATCTGGGTGGTAAAACTGAGGTTTAGCACTTTGTCCTCAGCTACTAAAATTTAATTGAATGGGTGAGAAGTGGAGGATGCCTTAAATAACTAAAGCGAAACAAGTAAAATCCACACACATCGACAACATGAAAGGACCTACTGTTGAGTTGGAAGCCACATGGTATTATTCCATCCTCACAATCTTACCAAACCTGTGTGAGGAGAAAGTCTGAATCGATTTTTAGAATGTCTGACCAAGAACCAAGGGCTTTCTGCTTACCTTTCTTGTAACAGGGGTCTGCCGAGCACCTTTGGAAGGGCTGCTTGCTGTGGCACCTTAGTGGCACCCACATGCAGCTGTGGGTCACATCTCTTCCAGGGATTCCATCTGCCCAAACCATGGCTTGTTGTGGGAAATGGAGCATACTTGTAATCCTGTGAGCTCCTTTGGTGTCACCTGTCTGCCAGCTGTGGGACTTTGGATGGAATGGAGTTATGCTGTGAGCTCTCCTGGGTTCAGGGTATTGTGTGAGAGAGCTTCAACAGTGCAGTGTCCTCAATGAGCCTTGGTGGTACAAAGATAAAATGGCAGATTTTATCTGTGATTAAACTGATCTGCCACTTAAATTGTCCTCCAGGGTAGGACATTGTATTGCTTTTGGCTGTGGGTCAGTGCTAGAAGAGTTACAATAATCCTGTTTGAGAAGGAAATGTAAAGATGCCAGCTTTTATCACTTTCACAACTTTTCGTTTCAAGAAGCTGTGTTTTTATTAAAAATCAGCACCAGTTTTATTCTTTGACATGTACTACTTGTGATTCCATTTTTTGCTAAATATCACCCATAGCACATTCTTAAATTTCTCCCTTCTGCTCCACCTTCCCCCAAGGTTTTAAACATTTCAGCACTGTTTCTTATGTATATCCATCATCTGAGGGATAAAAATAGGTTGAAATACTAGAAGAACCAGTTGGCTGGATTTCTTTCAATTTCTTTTGCATTAGCTAAAAATGTGGTGTTAAAAGCTTCTGTGTTACCTGACATACAGTAAGATTAAAGGTGGTATTAAGCACTGTTTATGAAATTTTGGGGGTAAATGATTTTTTAAAAGCTTTGGGATTTTTTTGTTTATTTGTTGGGTCTTGTGTTTTGTTTTGTTTTTTTAACAGGAATCTTACCCCTCTTCATCACCAATATGGTTTGTAGAATCAGATGACCCAAACCTGACTTCAGTCTTAGAGCGTTTAGAAGATATTAAGAAGAGCAATACTCTGGTGAGTGAAATATTTTGGTTATTTTGGACATTTGGTTGGGATTGTGTGTTTACTTGGCTTTGTCATATTAACAAGCAGGTCAACTAGTTCAGTTTTAGGGTTATTTGGGGGATTTTATAAATACAAGTTTTTCTGCCAAAAAACTTAGAAGCCAAAAGTAATCCAAAATATTTGAGGCAAGAAGGAAATGATAATTTCTTTTAGAGAGTAAGCTTTTAAGTAAAGTTTCAGCCCCAGTAATTAGTGTGATGTTTTTTGAAAATGATTATACAGTGAAGTGGATGAAAATGTTAAAACTGCTGAATAAGACAGCTGTTGTAGAGTTTTCTTTGCACAGAAATCAACAGCAGAGGCAAAACTTTGTACTCTTGAGAATGTGTATTCTCCAAATTATGAGTCTTAATACCAAGAATTCTTGGTTTCTTTAATTCCTTCATTCTTTCAAAGGAAACTTGACCTGATAGCTTCTGGTTCATCAGAATGTTCCTTGGGTACTGATACATTTAAGCAGTGTTGTGGCTTTGACAATTGCTACTTAAAGGAAATCTTTGTATACAGATTCTGATGGCTGTTTTGTATTTCAGAAAACTCAAGCATTGTATCTTGCTTAAATACCCTTTTCATGTAGCAATAGGAGCTCAGGGGAAAGGCACATCAATATAAAAATTATCTTTCTAGTCTCTGTGGGAAACTGTCCTTGAATAGTGCTTGGAAATAAATTTCAGTACAAATGCAGTTTGTGCCACAAAAAGGAGTATTGCAGCATACTGACAAACTCAGGTGATCTTTATTAATAGATGATAACATTTTGTGTTTATTTTTGTGGACATGAATGTGATACATACAAAACAAACCACTCTGCAGAATCCTGCTTGTTGCACGAATTATGTGCTTAGTATTTCTCTGGTTTGGGAAAAATTTGGAATGTTCTTTCTTAGGAAAACCTACTACTTGTCATGTTTCCTGGGAATAATGTTCATCTAGGATACCTGGCTGGCATTACATAAGAATGTACAAGTGTCTTTTTCTGAAGATAGTTTAGGATGCATTTGACTTCTAGCAAAAGTAATTGGGAAACTAATAAAAGTGACTCTTTGTGTGCCTTCCCATAATTAAAAACAATTGTAGAGGGACGTTAGTGCTTTCATGCATTTTGTTGGATCTGGTTGCACAAGATGTACATCTCTATTTTCTAATTCAACCTGAGATTTAGACTGAACTATGTTCAGAAGAATATTATAAATCTTAGTCTTTAAGCTTTGCCTAGAAAGGGGCAGTAGCAGAAAATCTGGCCAAATGAGCTTTTTGCTTAAAAGACACTTTTCAGAAGATTGTGCAGCTTGAAGCTGGTGTGGCTGATATTCAGCCTAAAGGTTCTGAACAACATATTTCCTGTGTGCAACTGCCTGCAAAAGGTTGGAAAACTTTGTTGTAAACATGCATGGGACTTGCTGTGCTGAACTGCATGTGCACACAGACTGCTTATGTAGCTGGTAAGAAAACAGCTTCTGCTATCAAGATTGTACTTGCCCATGTAAAAAAGCTGATGGGTTGATGTAATAGACACCTGTGATGGCCCATTGGTTTCTCAGGAATCCACCCTGATTTGTGCTGTGCCAAGGTGAAGGCAGGATGGGAGTGGTTGGAGAGACAAATATTCGCACTACAAAATCTGATTTCTTTTTTGCTCTAAAGACACGGCTTGTGACTTTTTAATTGTTTATTTTTTTTCTCCCTTCACTCTTCCCTCCCTTTCAATGGCATGGAGGACTTACATAGAGACTTTTTGCAGCTAAGTAGGAGGGGATAGGGGAGTACATGTAAAAATCCAAAGGCTTCTAATTTATCACAGTCTCATAAAAATTAGCTTTGTTTAATTTTTAATAATCTAGAATGTTTCAGACAAGCTTTCATTTAATTTACTGCAGGTATTAGTGCCATGTTAATCTAAACTCAAAGTTACCAGAGCAGTCAAGTTTTGAATGGAAGAAGGCATAGGAGTCTTCCAGGAGCTCAGCTGTGCTTAAAGCAGTGCTAGCACGTGTACCCTGGTTTAGCCTTTGGGATTCTACTGCCCTTACTACCTCCTTTGTAACATGGGACAGGTGTCAGCTGTTGGGAAACTGAAAAACATGCTCTTCAGGCATAAATGTTTGAAATGTAGAAGCCTTGTCATTTGACATGGTAACATGAAAACTGGTTTATGATGTTGAAATCATAAATGTGATTCCTGGAAAATCTTCTCTGGGTCTGAAACTGTTAGTTACCTTGCACCAGCATGCTGCTTTTACTATGAAAGTTTGTCAAAACACAAAAAATGTTGAAAGGTTATTAAGAATGTGATCAGCATGGATATCATCAGATTTGGACAGCTCAGCTGCTTGGTTGTCAATGTTAGGCAAGTTTCAGTGAGCAGATGAAGAAGTTAGAGAGTTCTTTCAGCCCCTAGTGTCTCCTGAATTGCCTTCTGAAAATCAGCCATTCTTTAGATTTTGTAAGTATTAAACTGCCATCTGCCTTCTAGTGGCTGTGCTATGCAAAAGAGAAATCTTACTATGTTCTGTTTAATATGATGGAAGTTACGTGACGTGAGTCTGAAGCCTCAAACCTTATTTCATGAGATGTTAAGTATAACTCTACACTGTTTGGATGTTTGCTTCTTAAAGAGATTAGGGAAATGGGCTGAAATTCAGAGAGCAACTTTAATTCTCACACTCCAGACCTTAAACTTGCATGGAAGATGTCAAATGTAAGTACACAATTCCTGGCATAAGTATGTTTACAGCTTGGGTAAGCTGCTGTCTTGAAATACACTGCTTCTGTGTTAATATTTTAGATTAAGTCCCACATGGAGGCATTTCAGGGAAGAATGTTGTCTCTTGCAAACTCCCAGTGTGGCAGCAGCTATTTCTGTAGTGGGAGTCAGAGACAAAATGCAGGAATCAGTTTTGCTTTAGTCTGAAACTGCCCAAGGCTGCTGAGTGTGTGGGAGGCCAGGCAAGGTATTGTCACTGTTACCTGATAACCAAGTAGTGGCCACATTCCAAGTGGCAATTATTACTTCCCTCTGTTTCCATTTTTATCCTTCTTCAGCACTTTCTCAGTGGTAGGCTAAGATTTATTGATGCATTTATTTTTATATAGATATTGTGGCTGTAGGTAGAGACACATAGAAAAATTAAGTCTTTCTGTGCTTAAACTGTACTTCTTAAATTATTTTTTCTTGGTAATCAGGAAACATGGTGTTTCATAGTGAGCCCAGCAGGATATTAATATCATCAAAGGCATCCTAAAATTGTCAATGCTTTCATACTACATTGAGAAGATATCTTCATACATAAAAAGGCTGCCTAGTGTAGGCTGGGTTTAAAAAAAATTAGTTTTAAACTGTTTCGGATGTGCAGAACATTAGGATAGGGAACAAAATTCCAAGAGGTGTTTGTGTTCTAAACCAGCACTATGGTGTCCAAAAGAACCACCAACTTCTCAGAACTCCTGAAGCATTAAAAATTATAGAGGATGTGTATTCTAATGTTGTAATTTTTGTTATTTTGATATTCATTGTAATCATTACGGCAAATTTATAGATGTGTTGTTTGGTCACTTGAGGGTTTCCCTTCTGCAGGCTATTAGCATCACTCCTTTACCCTGTGGGTTATGAGTTCTGGTTGCTGTTTACTTTGTGCTGTAGGCAGTTTGTATTCCAGGGAAACTACTGATAGCTCACTTTTCTTTAGTAGCCTCCAAGTGTGTGTGTTAAGCATTCATTTTACATTAGTTAAGCCTGTGAAGTTACCCTGGAAATACATTTAAATTATTAGTACATGACAGAAATCTGCTCTCCCTTTTGGTAGTCTGTTCATGTACATACCAACACATACCAAACCATGCCAGGCTCTGCTTAGAGCACAGGGCTGGATCGGATGCTTTCCAGATGTGACTTTCAGCTCAAATTACCCTGTGATTTTTCATACAGATGAGCCAGAAGATAAGGGATAACAGTGATGGTGATCCATGATGGAAAGATCAATAATATTAAATTAATTCCTGTGGAGGAAAAGTGTAGCAGTAAGGAAGAAGGGTGGAAGGGTTGTACAGACAGGATCAGCTTCTTGCTCTGCCACCACCTTTGCAAAATGTAGACATGGATTGCAAATGAAGCACCTGATCTGTAAAAATGAACTGCAGTAGGAGTTGCATTAAGCTAACCCTGCAATGTAGAATCCTGCCAATGTAGAACCCGGCTCTCAGCAGGTCTCTGCCTCCCCCTTCATAATGAAATGGTGGTTGTGTGCTGAGGCATATCAGAATTGATCTGCCACAAGGCTGATAAGCTGCCACACAGTAGTGTGATCTGTGGTGAAGAGCTGCTGGAGGCCCTTGTCAGGCACAGCTGTAACTCAGCCCAAGGTGTGCCAGCACCATGTTTTGAGGGCTCTCCTGTTCCTTGCTTGTGGTGCTGTGCTTGGAAGCAAGGGAAGTGGTAGGGCCTGGCTGCAAAAATCCCTTCTGAATTCCAGTTCAGATGACAGAACTATTTGTGGGGAGGAGGGCAGGAAGCAGTTCTTAACTCTCCAGCCCTTCTTGTCTCTCTGTCAAGGCAAACTAATACTGTGTTCATCTGCTTTTCCAAGGCCAGTGCTAATTGACCAGCACAATTGTGGCAGTCTTCCCTCACTGCTTAGATAAATTTTTTTATATGATTCAGAGAAGATTTAAACAAGTTATTGGCTCTGTGAGAAAAATTGCAGCTCCTGGAATTGTATGGTTTATGCTCCAGCTCTCCATGAGGCAATGTTTGTGCAGAGAAAAAGTTTCTCAACCAAATGTGTAGCAGTGCAACTTTAAGCGTCTTGCACATACTGAAAATAATAGTTCTAAGACCTGTGGCCTATCTGGCAACTAACTTTTTGATTGATTAACCTGATTCCTGTCTGCTAAAAGATTTCATAATGCTCTGGGTACCTGGGAAGCTTCAAACAAGTGTAGAATCTTAATGCTGATGAGAAACGTGATTGTTACAGAAGGGTTTTTGCCAAAACCTATCATGTCTCATGTATATACTCCTAAGAAATGTGGTGCTGGTGCCCCAGGCCTTTTGGTGGTATCTGCTTTATTTTTGAGTTAGGTTGATTATCTGCTTTAGTTTTGGTTTGGGTTGACTATCATGAATGATGCAGAAACAGCAGACATGGTGTGATAGTGTTCTAATGCAGGCTGGTACCTCAGTTCATGGCCTCAGATGGATGAATAACATTCCTATGAAACACAGTGTGGAATTCTGCTGTAGAAGGGAAAAGCACTGAAGCTTTCAGATAGCATAAGGGCAACATTTTCCTATCATTGCTAGTGATTAGGACTTGGAAATGAGTTCTTAACCCTGGAGAGACTGAATTTTTCACTTCCAGTGGGGAAGGTGAGAGGATTTAAACTGGCCAAGTAGCAAGGCCTTAGACATGTATTTTGGAGTGTGTGTGCAGAAATGACTGTCTTGTACACTGCCCTTGACAAATGGCAAGATAAAGTCTCCTTGGTTTTTGGAAGAAAAGTCCATAAATAAATGTATAATTTCTGCAAGCTTCATCTAGGTTAGTATTTTGCAAATTATGAGATGCTGACCCTTTTATAAATGGATTTTGCAGTCCTTTTATTGTTTTCCTGACGCAGCTGTGCAAAGACCTTGGAAAGGTAGGAAGTGCAATAGTATAATCTTTCATGTCTTGGCCTTAGCTAGGAATCTGAGGCTGTCTAGAGAAAGTGAAAAGCTGTAGAAATGAACTTCATTAGTGTAGTGATCAAAGAGCAAACTTAATATTTGTTTCTGCAGAAGTAAATTTTTTTCTGGCTTGCATTAGTGAGTGTGAAGTGGTGCATAGTTTGCAGTTAACAGAGCACAATCAATGAAACAAGCTGGAAACACAAGTCAGAAATAGTAACAGATTATACCTCACCCTGACACGAGATACAGCAGGCAGAGTGCCTGAACTCCTGCTCAGAGCCCACCTGGCTCCTGGGACTTGGACAGGGTTGGTCCTGCTTCTGCTGCCTCACTGGTGTACCCTGTAAAGGAATTCAGGGTATGGAAAACCAGGCTGTTCCTCCTTGTTTTTTTAAGCTGGGAAATGGGAATATGGACCATTTTGTCTCATGGAATGTGGCCACTTGCTTATTTCATAGTGATGCGTGGCTCAGACACCTATGCTTGGAATAGATGAAGCTGTCAGATGAAAAATTGTTTTTCCGCTCATGGTTTTGTTCTCAGACATAGGAAGATGAATGGGAGTGGTTAACTTGCCATGTCCTTGAGTTTCTGTTGTGGGGACTTTACTACAAAGATTACAGAGGGAATTTATTCTGGCCTGAGCAGATTTAAATGCTGTACACTGACTTTGAGTTCATTATCAATGTGTGAAGAAAATTCAAAATCTGTTTCTCTGTGCTTTGGTTTAAATAAACGTATCTATGTTTTTTTATTGTTTATAGCTTCTTCAGCAGCTGAAGCGATTAATATGTGACCTCTGCAGATTATATAATCTTCCTCAGCATCCAGATGTTGAAATGTTAGATCAGCCATTGCCAGCTGGACAGGTAAATTAAAAAGCTATGGACACCTTCTTAGGCCAATAAAGGAATTGGTTTTTTAACTCCCAAGAAGCAAGATAATGGGAATGATTAAACCTTGTGTAAACCAGAAGTGAGAGATTAAGTACTTTTGCATTGTGGTGTCTTAAATTTGAATTTTGTTTACAAAATCCATTTAATAATAGTGTGATAATATTACACAATTCCCTTCGAAGTTTCTGTATCACTGGTAGGTGTGTATGTGATACCAGTGCTGTCAAGTTTAATTTTCTCCTAAACACTGTTTAGGCCAATCTCTGTGCACTTGGAGTGCTTCCCAAACTTACTTTTTCTGAAATATTTGGCTCTTTGTTGAAGGGTATGTATTTCACAGTGTGCACTTGGATGAACTACTTTTGTTTTCCTTCTTCAATCCCTTGCAGAGACATAGAATATCAAGGGCATATGTTACTTTGAGTAGGGAGGTGCCTTGCTTACTTCTTGTGCACTTGAAAAATTAAGAATTGTGAAGGCCTGTGAGGTGTTCTTCTTGACCAAAATGTTGTGTATTGTGCTGAAAACAGAACTGGCAACAGACAGTAGCTGTTCTTTTCTGATTTTTAGTAAGATTATGGGATCTTCTTTTGTTTGTACACATTAAGATGACATGATTGCTAAAATACTCCTTTAGAGTAACAGATGCTTTCCTGTGGTAACAGTACTATAGTAATGACAAATAACTTGCTTTATTTTTGGTCGCATGCCAAATTGAAATCCTATAGGTCTTTGAGCCACCCACTCAGCAGTACAGCTGTAAGGCAGTGGGCTGTGCTGTTAGGGTGTAGCTTTGTGAAGGGTCTCATGTGCTGTGAAATTCAAAAACAAACCCATGAAAGGTTTCTTAGCCAGAAATGTCAGACTGTTTCAAGTGAAATAAGAGGGGCCTTAGTAACTCTGACCAAAGATTCATCTGGTCTCATATAATGTCTAGAGCAGTGTCATTCCTTCTTTGCCAAAGGAAAAGTGAGTAGAGGACAAGCATATCAGAATGCTCCTGAGTATTTCTGCAGCTCAGACTTCCTGAGCTTGGAGTGGTATCCTGAAAGAGAAAGTTATATTCAGTGTATTGTTTTGATATTTCCTCAAATAGGCTAATAGCAATGGCTACATGATGATACCAGTGGCTGCATGGAAGTTCCAGGTAGTGAGAAAAAGAATCTGTTAGGTTCTAGACGTCTAAAGTTCATTCAGTTTTTCTTTGTCTTTTCTGTCTCAGAATAAGATGTTCCTTATCTGAATTTAAAGCTTCTATTTACAACTTAATGGGAATTGAGACATTCTGTTTACTTTTGCTTTGTGAAAATGTCTCTGAATTCACGGTCATATTCCAGGAAAGCATCTTTATGCATCTTACCCTTACCTGCAAAGGGCTGAAGTTTGACATGTAACTTTTGCATTTACTGCTTCTCTTGGAGAGTAGACTTGCTGATTTTGAAAGCAAGAAGCGTATGCAGAATTTATGCAGAACTTTCATTGTTGTGTTGCAGAATGGGGCAACAGAAGAAGTTACATCAGAGGAGGAGGAAGAAGATGATATGGGTGAAGTATGTCTATATATGAGGTTGTTGTGCTAATCTAGTAGAATTTTGGCATTTTGCTCTGTAATGTCTGGCTAATAATTAAACAAAACTGTAAAATGTAACCTCCCTGGAGTTCAACAGAAAAAATAATTAAAATTTGGATGTTTACCTGAATGTCAGCTTTCCCTTCAACCAGAAAACTAGTGAAATTTTCTTCTTAAACCTAGATCTCAGCTGTGAGGTACTTGGATACAGAGAATTGGACATCTGTTTGTGCTTTAGTCAAACAATACATAACATTGTGTGCCAAATCAGTAAGTTTTTACATTGTTAACTCCTATTTCAAGCAGCATGTGAACTGGCTCTGATACAGTTGGAAGTGCCTCCCAAATTGAAGCAGACTTGCTAAGAGTAAATCAGTTTGCTGACTCATTGAATGGGTGAGGTAGTTTTTGACTGTAATAAATTGAAGGGACTGGAAGAACATTGAAACAGACACACTAAACTTTTATGTCCATGTCTGGCAACATGGTGCTCCCTTTAATGAGCTTTTTAGTTGTAAGAATCACCCTTTTTGCTTGCTTCTGCAACATTTTAGAATAGCTCCAAGATGCTTGCTTTCTACACACTATAGACTGCCTTAATATAGTAGAACTGTTCTGGTTACTTCAGATTTAGCTTTTTAATTAAGGTGTAGTAAGAATGAACAAGTGTCTCTGAACAAATGATCTTCCTATAGAAAAGATCTAAATGTTACCAAGTTCTTAAATAAATTTGTAGCGGCCTTTCTTATGCCATATTTAGCCTGATCCAGACTATGTTTGCTGGAGCCCGTGTTTCTGTAAAGGTGGTATGTACCATATCCTGCTGGCACAAGGCACTGGTTGCTTGCAGACTGCTAAAGTAGCCTTTTGCACTCTGTTTGGGTTACTTTGTACAAAAAAGAAATGGTCTGCCATTATTTATCAGCTGTCAGGGGGCACTGTGCGTGGCAGTGGTATCTGCAACCTGTAATCTAGTCCCAGTTCTAAATGGAGAAATAGTTTACAATTCCTCAGCTCTATCATTGGAGAAACATAAGTGTTTTGAAGAATGCTCAGTCTAAAGTCTGGTACAGCTGAAGACAGTGTTGTCAAATGCACCAGGTGTATTTCTTGTTACATAGGGCATCCTTGAATTTGGGTTTTCCTGCCATGCAAACAGATGGTGCATGGAGAACACCCCCAGGTGTGGCAGAGCTCTGCATACTGGAGTATATCTGGTAGTTGTGTAACCAAAGCCTGCTGGTGTGGCTGCTGCAATGCTTCCTTTTTGTGTCAAAGTATTTACATGCTTGCCCTCCTCTCCGCAGCCAGTATTTGAATCACCTTCAGGCAATTGTTTGAAGCTCAGAGTGCTTCTCTGCCACAAAGATAACCCCATCTCAGGATACAGAGTGGAGGAATTTTAGTGCCTTGGTCTAGAACATAGAACCAAAGTGTTGGCTTGGGTGATCAGAGTGCTTGACCACAGAATTTTGTCTTATGTCCTGATTCCAAAATTACTGCATCTAATCTTTAGCTGAAATGTTAACCTTGAATAAAGTACACATAGTTTTCTAATATTTAACTTTCTTGAAGGGTTGCTGTAGCCCTGCCAAATGTGTTAATCACTACTTGCGAGAAATAACTAGGATTCTAATTGCAAAAGAGTCTGCTTTTAGTAACAGCTTGGAGCCACCCTAACTTGGGGTACTTTTGGATTCTCTAGTCCAATTTGCTGCCTACTTCAGTGGGCTAATTCTCTACAATCTTATCTTCTTGCAGAGGTTGTACTTGTTTCTGTGACAAGAAATGTTGTGAATTCGGGTTTCATTTGTGTTGAGGGTTCCCTATATTCCAGTGGTTATGTTGGCTGAGGGTGAAGTTAGAACAAAATAGAAATGGCATCCAGCAATCACAAATCATAGTGGTATGTGACTGTATCCCACATGCCTTTGGAGACAGCTTCATTGAATGTAGAGCACAGGACAGTTATTTACAATTAACTTCTCTCTCTCTGTAGGACATTGAAGATCTGGATCACTATGATATGAAGGAGGAGGAACCAGTTGATGGAAAGAAATCTGAGGATGAAGGCATTGAAAAAGAGAACCTTGCAATCTTAGAAAAAATCAGAAAAAATCAAAGGCAAGATCACTTAAATGTGAGTTAATGTTTCCATGCTTCTTTTTTGCAATACTTCTGTCTTTAAAATAGAGATGGATTTCAGCAAAGAAAGCCCACTGCTATGCACCTAGACATAAATTAACCTGTGCTGACTGTTTAACTGCTCATCTCCAGAGGTATCCATGTGGTTGTCCCTCTGTCTTGCTTGGTGCCTTTGTTACAAACATTAGCTCCCCTTGCAAAATCAGCAGAATACAGTGAGCTTGACTTTTGTTGCTGAACCCTTTTTAAAGTAGAAAATCTAAAGCCAAACTTAAAACTGCCTGTGTTAAAAGTCATGGGTGACTTAAAATACTTGGCAAACCTGTGCTTTAAATCCATTTTATGCATGAGTTTATTTTTCAGTAATAGCTGTGCCACCTGGAAATTACTGAAGGCTGGTGAATTGTTGTGCAGGTTTTTCTTATTGCCATGCATAAAGTAAGGGGCTTTCAGCAGCTCTGCAGCTTTGTTGTCAGTTTTCTGAGTGATCTTACCAGCAGGCAGTTGTAGAAAAAGTGCTTGTTCTCCAGAAGCTTAGAAATGTTTCTGTCCCAAGTGCCAGGTTCCAGAGAAGCTTCTAGTTCTCAGAGGTGTATGTAGCAGGGTGTGATGTCATACAATCTTAATTTTATTTACCCTGACTTCCAAAGAAATCAAAGCTTTTATTTCATAGAGGCTTAAAATGTATAAAACATGAAATGTAATACTTCTGTTTATGATCTGCTTCATCCAAAGGATTTTAAAATTTTAACACCTAAACCTTATTGGCATTTCAGGGTTTAAAAGCAGGCAAACATAAGGTCCCAAACTGCTTTGGCTGTATAGTCAAGTCTGGTTTTGAGACTTGACTGATCATAAGTACAAGAGTCACTTACTGGTTTTGTTTAAACTTGAATGTTCACAGTTTGAGAAGATGCCTAGAGAGGTTTGTGTGTTTCTGTGTGTATAACTCAACTCCTAATAATAAGGAATCTTTTAATTGTTAAAGAAGATATATCCTCTTGCAGCCTGAAAGGCATGGCCTGCTCTACAATCATCAAAAATTTGGTAGAACAGAAAAAAAGATTTTTGTAGTGTCAGCATTCTTCCTTAGTGCAGAAAGCCTCTTAAAACTGCAGATTTTCTTTTGCTATCTATTCTTTTCCTATTTGGCAAATACTGCCTTTTATTTTGCTCTTTCCCTCCACATTTAGTGGAGCTGAAATGAGCACTGTTGGTTTTCTGTTTGACAACAGCAGATTCAACTTACATAATAGCTGTTTCTCATGCCAGGACACTCTGGTTGATGCTGGTGCATAAACAAGGTCAGCTGAGTGCAGGGAACAGGGTATTCAGCTGCTGCTGAGGAACTGTGGTATTTTTGTGGGTCACCAGAAATAGCTGTGCTGCTGAAATAATTTCTCCAAGGACTTGTGAGGGTTTACTCTTAGGTGCTAGGGAACCAGAATCTACAACTGTGCTACTGACCTAGGAAGGAGCTAGCCCAGTTGCACTTTATAGGTCCTCCATGCTGCCAAAACAGGGGGCTTCTGACAGAATTTGTTAACCATGCTCTAAGAGCAGTTGTTTGAGTGTCCTAACACAAAGCAAAATTTAAATCTGTAGAGCCCTCACAACTGGGTTTCTTGGAGGACACTATGAATTTTACAAACCTAAATGCAGTGGCTAAACCAGTCTTGTTTTTCAGCCCTTTGGGATACTTTGTTTCCTCAGCAGAGGCCAGTAAAACAAACCCGTGCCATTTACCTGTTGGAAAAGGGAACATGTAGCATAATACAGGGCTTTGACTGGTGCCCAGTGCAGCCAGAAGACTTTTCAGTTCCTTTCTATATTCTTTGGCCCAGGTCCATGGGCTGTCCTCTCTCCCCTTGGCAGCACTGCAGGCTGGAGTTACAGATCATGTTCAAGGGTTTTTCATGGGAAAGCAGTCCATGCACTCCCATTGTCATTTATTTCTGATAGGTTAAAGACATTTTTCTGCTTCTCAAGATGTTCTCATAAGAGTTTTCAGGGTTTATGTGTGCTGTACAAGAATGTGTATTTACTAATTTTGTGAGTTCTGTCCTTGGCAGTTTCCTTAATCCCATTCTTCTTCTTGGCATCAGGAAATAAATTTGGCTTTTGGTAGTATGTAACTTGGAGCAAGAATTAATCCTCCTCTTAACATTGTAATAACTTTAAAGAACCACTTGCTTACCTGTAGTTAAAATAGATCTTTGAACTGGAATCATAAACTTCAAATATTTAACAATTTGCTGCTGCTTGCTTTTCAGAGGTTTTTCCCCACCTAGTCATTTCAGAGATTAATGCCTTTCTTATTTAGGTAATGCTATTAGCTTTTCCTGTTTCATACTGAGGAGTTTAAGCACTTCTCTTCAGAAGTCTCCAATGTCTCTACTTTCATCTTCAGATTTTATGAAATCTAAGGTGTCATTTCTATTTTTAGATTAATCCTTGAAGGAAGTATGAAACTACTTTAACTTCTAGGAATTATTGTGCTTCTGCACAAATATGGAGGAAGTAACAAATGGAACTTGTGTTCTTTAGCTCTTTTTTGGTTATTTTAGGTTTAAGTTCATTATCTTGGAGGAGTTTTCATGTTTTGTTTCAGCAGGTGATTTTTGGTCTTGTGGCTAAGTCTTCTAAAATGTATTGAGTGAAGAAGTTTTCTGTAGTGTTCTGATGTGTTCACAGTATTTTTCTGATCAGACAGAAGACAGATCTTATCAGATCTTTGGATAAAAATCTGCAGTGAAGTGCACCTCCTATCCTCTATAACTTGGGGAGGAGAGCAGGCTGTGGGGTGCATTTTGAGGGCTGGAAGTGGAAAAGAAGCCCCTGATGTCTCTGTGACATTAGTACAGCAGGGCAATGGCAAGTGCTGGTCCAACTGCACCATGAGTTTCATGTTTCCAACAGTGGCTCATCCTTGTGGGGAAGAGCTTGAGAACAAGACAGGCTTGTAGTGATGCATCTCATGAATATTTTTCATGTCCAACTTTTTTGGCTGTGAGAATTCCTGGATCAGGTATTTCTGTTATTTGCAGCTCTCAGCAGCTGGCATGCTGTCAACATAGATGTTTGCCTCTTGTAGCAGGGATTTCTCCAGCTTACCTGCTCATTGTTCTGGAGAGCCACAACATACGCTAGTACAGGATGGGATGATTAAGTGAGACTTTTTGTGCCCATTTGATTACGTATTAAGAAAAAAAAGTCACTTGGGTCTGGTCCTGCAGCTAATTTAACTACTTCAGATGAAATGGCTTTGCCTTTCTGCTCTTGGCATCAGCCCCACATGACAGATACCCATCAGATCCCATGACTGACCACTTAATGTCTGAGGCAGTTGCAACTATAAATCTTACTGTCACAATTTGAGAAATGGGAACTTTATCTCCCTTGGAGTGTCAAGTCCCACTTTTCTAGAAGGATACTGTTATTTATATCCGAGTTCAGTATTTGAAATTATAACTTGCATGTAGTGAGTTATGGAAAAAGTTTGTAATTTTAGTATCACTGTAGTTAAAATTGACCTCAATGCTCTGTGTTGTGCAGTGGTGGGATGCAAGTCGTGCTCTCTTCTAAACTGCTCTTTACAGTGGCTCCAAAACCCACAAGCGACCCCAGAATGAAGATGTGTTTCAGAGCAGTGGTGTTTAGCATTAGGCTTACCATCAGGTTTAGCTGTTACCTTCCCCTTTAAGTTCCTCCAAGGGTAATTCAGAGCACATAAAATTAGCCCCTGTGCTAAACTTCTTAAGTTTGCTATCCTCTTTCTCCTGATTGTAGATTACTGGTTTACAGTCCATTGATTCTTTAGAGTACAAGTGTAACTATATGTAATGCTGCTATATAAGGAGTGAGCAGCCTGACCAGAAACTCCTGGGGGAAAAAGGGTGAAGACAAAGTGTGTTGAGGCTTGCTTACACGTGCTATGACTAACTCCTTTAATACCACCTCATTTATCAGCAGTTATAATAGAAGTCAGGGGGATGTGGGTGTGTTAAGCTATGGTTTTTAAATGTCTCCAGTAGAGAAGATACTTAAATTTTCATTTGCCAAGATGAACTTCCAACATTATGTATAGAAATTTAGTAGTTCAATTGGATGGCAATAGAGATGCAATGAGAGAGGTAGTTTTCCACAGGATGTCTGTGACCATCTAACTTGTTCTTAAATTGTCTGTATTTATAGGTTGACAATTAGTTGGAAAGTGTACAAAAATTCCTTCTTTTAGTAAGAAATACAGTGGAAGGGGCAATGATCTGCACAGCTCTACTCAGAAGAAAACCGAAGTCTTGACACTTGTCTATGAAATGTCTTTCCTCCAGACTCAACATATTGATGAGTCTCGATCTTAATGCTCAGAAAGCACAGTAACATTACAAAGAATGGTGATTAACACTGCTGTGTTAACTGGCTAGGTATAATGCTTCCTTTTTCAGCTAATCTGTAAATAGTGGGCATAAATAGTAGTAATATGCAGATATTGCATATGAACAACCTTTTTCCCTAAAATTTCATATACTTGGTGTTTGAGAAATCTTTTTTTTGTCTGATACTCCTTTATAGACAGGGACATAGTAAATGGAGAAATTACTTGTCTGAAGCCTTGTTTGTATGTAGCTTTTGTTTAGTCAGATGAAAGGAGTTCCCTATTATTTGCATGTTTAATTACAAGGTTCATCCCTCATACCGGTCTGTTAAGAAAAAAAAAACTGGTGGAATTTCAGAAATCTGCATAATTAAATCTAAAGGTGTATGAAAATGAATAGCCTTAAAAGAAAAGTCTACAGATTCTAGTGGGAAGCTATGTGTATTATTTGATACTACTGGACAGCGAAGACAGAGGACTATGTGGAGGCTTTGCCATCAAGTAACTCTTACTGATACTTAATTTTTATCAAGAAGTAATTTGGTCCTACAATTAAGACCTTATAGAGTATAAAACATCACTGTGGACTTCAGGTGAACAGGGAAGATGTTTTGGGTATTCGGTAATGGTCACAGCTGCTTCATATTCTTCCAAATATGACACTTCTATCCAAAAGGGATATGTTTATAGGCGCTCATACTGTCTGGAAGGAAACTGAAGAAAAAAGAATCTTTGAATTTTTAGATGGAGTAAAAAAGCAGCCTCTTCAACTTACTTATTCAGTACTTGATACAGACAGGCTGAATTATCCTAGGTGGGTCTTCTTTATTTGTTAGTGGGGCAGTTTTATTTTTTGTCATGCTTTCTCCCCCCAGCTATGCTCATGAGCTCCATATGTTAGCCTGTATTTCAGTGGCAGTGACTGAAGAACAGGAGCAGAGGGGAACTGCAAAGTAATCTACCTTTAGGAAACAGACCCGTGGTGAAAGCCCAAGTGTCACAGGATCAGGGTTTGGGGCAGTAACTTGAACCTAAAGTGGTATTTTGGGTGGGATGTATAAGCAGAGTAATCACATAACATATAAGAAAATTGTTTTGAGTTTTCTCTCACTTGGAGGTGCGGAGCAGTACAGAACTGAGCTCTAAGAGAACAGAAGAGATTTTGCCGTAGTTGCTTAAATCACAAGAACTATGACGAGTCACAAGAGATATTTTGTATTTTAAGGTTTACTTACCTTTGTTCTCTGTGTAGTTGTTGATATTTTCACTCAATTTCAGTAAATATTGCTTTTGTTCCACATTTCCTAAATTCATTGCTGGGTCTTACTCCTCTGGAAGCTGCTGTTCTAGAGTGGATACTTAGCAATTCCTGTACCTTTTTCAATGACCAAATAAAGATATACCTCTGAGAAAGCAATAAAACCTTATGTATAGAATCTTGCTCTTAGGATTAAGCTTACTTTTCTTCCAGTGTATAAAAACAGAATGTGAAATTAATTATTCCACTCTGAGATGTACTGTGCATCCGTCTTGGAAATTAAAATGCCAAAGATTTAGGTCCTTTACAGAAAAATACCTGTTCTACCTTGATTAAAATTTTGTGTCACCTATAGCATTTAGTAGTATATATTAATGTTCTTTAGAGGGAGGGCCTTGTTTCTTTGGAGTAGACTTTGCTTGCTAGAATATTTAACTTTTCAGAAACCTAATTCTCATACAGAAATTAATATATTGTTAATACATTCTAGTTAGTAATGTAAAGCTGATTGTAAATATTACTTTTCACTTATTTGGAGTATTTTTGTTTATTTCAGGGTGCAGTCTCTGGGTCAGTTCAGGCTTCAGATCGACTTATGAAAGAACTCAGGGATATATATAGATCACAGAGTTATAAAACAGGTAAATGCCTCAGATTTCCCTTTTAAAAAGATACTTTAAATGAATTCTCTTGGGAAATACTTGCTGCTAACTTCTCTGTTTTGTTGTCCTGTGTTTGTATATACGTGCATGTTTGTGTGTGCACATATGTAAAAATACATAGATACGTTATATATACTTTTATAACATAAAGTAGTTTATTTATGGAGAAAAGTTAGAACATATATTCCTTGCAATAATGATGTGGATTACAATGGAAAACAAGCTTGTATTTTAAATTAGTTTGACTAATGACCAGTGATTATCTTGAGGTAGTGGATGGCTGTTTCATTTATTCCTTATAGGAGCTGTAGCTAAAGTAGCTCAGCAAAGGATTCAGCATATTGAATCATCTGAGTATTACCATATGAGAAATATTAATTACATCGATTTTGGGCAAGTTGTATTCCTCTAGGTCTGCCAAATAGACAACTCCATCACTGCAGCCAGGTGTCAGACCCTGGTGCAGGCCAGGGTGGGAACAGGAGGAATACCCAATTAGAGACTCAGTGTAAAACTAAACATGCTTTCGCTTTTCTGGACTTCTTCCCATAATTATTTCTAGTGGACATAAACCTCACTTGACGATGCCATTTTAATCATGTGTAAAAGAACAGAGGTGAAGAGACAATAGGTTCCTGTTTTGGTTTGTCATATTTAACTTTTAGGTCAATTGTTTCATGTATGGAAGTGCTGGGGACAGTGGTAAAATGTCTGGGGTATAAATTTGATGAGGTGACCTAGTGTTGATCTATTGCAGCCTGCTTTTAGCTTTGTTGCAGCTGAGTGCTTGCCAGTGTGCCCCAGTCACCATCTATCCGGGAGGGAATGGATGAGTGGGTCTAGGGAAGAGCTGGAAGCAGATCTATGGGAAGTCATGGGGGATGCTTTACTGTCTGGTTTTGACCTTCAGGCTTTGTTTAGGTGATCAGAGTGAAGGCTGGTTATAACAAACCAGACTGGAAAGAGTGCTGTGAAGTGCTCAGTCATTTGGTGGTACCACTGGAGTCAGCCAGGAGCCCCTGGCTAGCTGTGGTTTGAGGGGAGGGTTTAGTCTCTCTGATCATGTCATTTCTTGGCTTCAGATACACAAGTCTCAATGAGTTGCAAAAGACTGATCTTGATGTAGGAAAGTGTACTCTAAATTATGAAGAAGAGCAAATCTTGCTAAACTTTACAGAAGGTTGAGGTTCTAAAGGGTGAGTGCAGTAACTTAGAGCTTATGACTTTGGAAATATGTAAAAACACTGCAACTGGATGCCTCATGTTGATCTCTAAAACACTGTAATGAAGTAATGTCAAGTGGAGGCTGACACTACAAAGATGACAATTCTGCTTTGAAACACCGTCCTAAGTGACACAGTTATTACATTTTTCCAGTAAATTGATGCTGTTTATTATAAAACTTACCTGGATTCATTCCTTATGGTTTCATTTATTCTTCGACGTTGAGCAAATTGATGTTCTTGTTCCTTTTTCTTTGCACAGAACTCCTGCTTTCATAGCCTAGTTCTACCTTTTGTTAGGTAACTGTCACCACGAGCACAGGCTATGGTAATTGGCTTTTTTAATGTCTTTTTTGTTAAGAGTACTTGCCCCATGGTCCATTTTACCCTACATTTAATTTCTTCCTACTAAATCACAAAGGGAACCGTTGTGAAACTTCCAGGTTCTTGTAACTGTTGCAAGGTAATTTAATGCTGTTTTCATTTCTTTGTAAGACAAGCCAGAAAGGCTAAGGCAGATTTTTAGTTGAGTAAGGATCACTTCATTTAGTTTTCATGAGGTTATATGTTTTTAGGACTGACTGTGAAAGTGAGTAATACTTGTAGCAATAGTATTTTAATTTTTTTTTCTTTTCTCTTGGACTATTTTATAAAAAAGTAATATTAAAAGACAGTGGCTTCAACTGTAGCTGTGCATTCAAGGTAATATGTATTTTAGAAATTAATTTCCTTTATCAAATGAAGCAATAATGGTGCTGGAGTTCAAGCAAAAGATCACAAACTTGCTCTCAACAGCAAAGTTGCTTATCTATCTGGGAAATCTAGGGAAAGAATTGCCCTTAAAGAAACAGAAAATAATTTTCTTATGAGCTGACAGGAGCAAAAAATATTCCAGCAAATTAAGATACTCTGTTGTGAATTAGTTTCATTAGCCTATTCAGATAATGGGAGCCTCAAGTCCTGTAAAGCAAGATTATCTAATTTCTACATATCAGATTGGAGATTCACAAAAGATTTGATTGGGAAAGGAGGGCAAGAAACAAAGAATTTGGGGATACTAAGTGAAATTTTTTTCCTGTTCATATCTTTAGCATCTGTTTTATTCAGATATAGTTCATATAGACTTCAATTCCCTGTTTTTATCCAAAGACTGGGTGGGATTTACTTTGTTATATAGTAATGTTGCCCCAAGTAAGATGTTGCTTCTGTTTAGAAAGGAATTGCTTTTCTTTCGACATTTCAATTGCTTACTTTTTTGCTTGCTTCATTCATGGTTCTGTGGTTTCTTTTTAATAGATCACCTCTTTTACTTTATCACCTTTGAGTGATAAAAACTCCACCCCACCTTGTATTTAAGCAAGAGGAACCTACTTTGATTCCTTTCCTAAATTAAGGACTTTTCAAAAACTACTGTTAGTTAAATTCTCTTTGACAGGAACCTTCTTCCTCTCACTGTCAAAATTACAGAAAAAAGCACATAAATTACTTCCAAGTAACCTCTTGATTTTTCAGGAAACCCCAAACAACACCCTCACTCAGCTTTGGATGTTGTTGTTTTGTAGCTTCTGTATCAAACATGGAGCCCTTGCTGCTGCTCATGAGACACAGATACTGTTTGCCTCAAAACTTGGCTGCTTGAGAGGCTGCTGGAGTGTCTTGTGCTGGTGTTGAGCTGACCCTTTCTTTCTGAAGAACCCTCCTGCAGCTTCTGGCTTGGATGCAGCACAACTCTTGGGTACAGCTTGTTGGGGAAGCTGCCAAAGTGTCTGGGCCTTGGATTTGGAGTGGGACAGGAACTGTAGCTAAGAACAGGAGGCTGAGGATGATGGAAGGAGTGCAGGACTGGGGCTGAAGGCTTAGTGAGTGAGCAAAGAGGTGGAAGTTCTCTTGTGATCTCTCATTATTTAGCATGGTGTCAGAAGCCTTACTGTAACTTACTGCCTTGTCTGTAATAAGTGTTCTTTGCTCCCACTTGGATGCAGGTGGAAGAAAATATTCTGGATACAACAATGGAATAGATTTGTCATTAATGGGAGTTGACAATGAGCAGAGTTCTGAATGTCAACTCTTTTGTTGTTACATCAGAGTAGTGCTAATTGAAATTCTTAGTTTGTGACTTACACTGAGGTCAGTTCAGAAAATAGTGTCCTTGGATCTGGGGAATTGGAAAAAGGCCTTAATAGCTCCTTTGGTTGCTCCTCAAACAGAGATGTCATGTCTCTGATTAAAAGGGACATGGGTAGCACAGTGAGGATGTGTTCAGGCCTACACTGTTATTCTAGACATAGGAAAATTAGAAATTGTGCTCTTGGCTGCAGTACCCACTTGTTAGTTGCACTCAGGAGAAAGAAGCATGGGCGCTTTAACTTATGTGCCAAGTTTTGAAATGCTTTAGAAATAATGGTGTCTGGACAGCTAGAAATGTCATCTGTACTCCAATGTACTAATGCTTATAAGCTTCAACTGCAAGATTATTTTTATGCTAGAATAATAAAATTCAGAAATTAATATCCCTCATTCCTTGGGAAGAATGTGGTGATTGCAATCTGGTGGTTGTATTGCCTTCTGAAATCCTAGGCAGGGTCCTGATTTGTATATGGCTTCCAAATAATTAGGTCAGCAACAAAGATGCTGTTAAATATTAGGCCAGGGAATGAGTTTAATAATAGTGGGTCAGTCTATATGCATGAATATTCTGTGAAGGAGGGGGTTTAACTTCTGTACATGACGATACCATGCTCTAAATCTTGTTGGGTGGTTAAAGATTTATTGCTTTTTCTAGAGCTGCTTGTGACTTTATGCAGAGAGGAAGCTCTGAATATATTAGAAAATTGCAGATAATTTCTGTCCTTCCCTGGGAGTGAATTGCACAACTGTTGTTTAACTTACTTAAAACAGTAAGGCCACTGAAAGTCACCAGCTGGCTCCCACAGACCATTCCATTCTTTAGATGCATCTTTCTGGCTTCCTCAGTCAGCTTTTGGGAATGTACTTAATCCACTGCTGTATCTCCTTTTTGTTGGGTTTCTGCTGCATACACTGTCCTGTGTGTTGTCCTGGTCTGCCTGTATCGATGGGAACCTGTGAAACGCAATGCTGCACACTCACACTATGTTGTGAAGTGTTTTAAAAACATGTTGGTAGTGTATTGGGTGTAAAATACAGTGAGTAATAAGCAAACTGGAGTTATTGTTGTGGAAGGTTTGAAGGTGAAATGGTTAAGTATCAGGAAAAAAATTGGTTAATGTGGAATGTTTTAATAGAAGTGAAAACACTTTTTCCTTGTAGCTCCTCAGAAGTACATCTGCTATTGGAGAAAGGACGTGCCTCAGTATCAGTGTCCTACCCATTGCTTACCCCTGCTGACAGTATTCAAATTTAAAGCAAAGAATGGTTTTGCTAAGTTTCCTATCTACACTTTTAGTGCATAATTAATCCCATCTAATATTTCTACAGGGATATATTCAGTGGAACTGGTAAATGACAGCTTGTATGAATGGCATGTTAAGCTTCTCAAGTAAGTTAATAAAGTTTTTCTGTGTTCCAAAAAATCTGTTTTATTATTGCTGGAGAGATTCTTTTGATAAAGGAGTATCTCTAGCCATAGCATAAAAAATAGTGTGTTACAGTAGTAGTAGCTCTAATGGTATTTGTAGCCACTAAATAGTGGCAGTAATTCTGATACACAGAAATGTGTAGAGATGGAATGGTAGTAATTGAGCTGGCAAGACAGACCTGCTTTTCCCTGCCAACACTATGTGTATTGCATTAACTGTCATTACTGTTCAATTCTTAAGCTGCTCCAAAATACGCAACCTTAAATAATGAAAATTCTTTTCAAGAATTTTTGCATTGATTTTGTTTTTATTTGTTTTGAATTACATGAAAAATCCAGCTTTAGTTACTTTTAAGATGTAGGCAAGAACAGAACTGAGTGTCATTAGTTTATTTCTACAGTTAAACAGGCACATAGGACTGAAACTTTTAGCTATCACATAAATGTGAATTATATAATTATATGTACTTTGTCTTCTGTCATCAACTAGTATACCAAGTGAAAAGCAGTACATAACTCTCACCTTGTTACATCCACAGTCCAGTAACTTTAATCCTAGAGGTGTTAGAGTGAAATTATTCCTGGTAACAGGGTCATCTGCTGGCATCGTTATACAGTACCCTAAAGAAAGGAAGAGCCTACCCAAACTGTTCTGGGTAGCTGCTGCATCTGGCAGTGGATGAAAGAGCTCCCATGGGTTCAGAGATGTCCTGGGGGATAAGGATAAGGACAGAGGCTGTTTCAGCACAATAGTTGACCTGCCTGTAGGAATTGTTGCTTTGTCCTAGGGGTGAGACTTGTGAAAACTGGGTCGCCAGCTGCTGAGAGAATTTTGTTTCCTTCTTACTGTAATCATGGGCATGTGAAGGTTTTGAGGCTGAAAATGGCAGGAATGACACATCAGAGAAATCTGTGTCATGTTATTGGAGGCCTTTCCTATTGAGCGCATCTGTAACCAAGTGCTCAAACCATGTGCAGTGATTTGAAACCTCTGTTCAAGTGCTGTGAACAGGTCTCATTTTCTGCCTTCAGAAAAGAGGAAATGGAGTATATGCAGCAAATGCCTTCCAGAATGTCTAAGAGAAGTGTTGTTTGTTTATTGCAGCAAAAAGTGCCTGGAAACGAATGCCCTGTGTGCAGAGTAGCCATGGGGTAGCTGTTCAGAGGAAAGAGCCCATTTGGGGAAGGAGCAGTATTGTTACTTAGAACAAGTCCCTTTGAACTGGCCCAGCAAAATGGCTTGAAATGAGATATTACTAAGCACTGGAAATTTTTTTTCTGAAATAACTTCCCACTGATAGAATGGGGACTACCTGCCCAAGAAGTTCTGAAATGAGATCTGATAACTTTGTAGTTTCAGCTGTATTAGAGGATTAGATTTAAGGGCCTTTCAGTCCCTTTAACATCTGTTGTTTGCTTGCTGCAGTTGTTTTTTACTAGTCTCTTCTATTTAAAAGCTGATAGGGTGTCAGATTAACCCAGTAGTGTCTGAATTAGTGGCCAGGCTGCTCACCCACCAGCATTTTGGAACAAACAGTTGTTGAAATTCTACTGAACAGAAGCTGCTGGCTTTAGTACTGCTGATGCAGATTACTTCTAACAGCTGATGGAGGACTACAATTACATATTCCATAAAGGATTCACTAACTATGTGCTGAAAACAAGATGACTACAGTCTTCTTGTTTTTCTCCCCTCTTATTTGAACACAACTGAACTGAAGAGAATTAAAATTGCTCTTTTCAAATAAACAGCTTATTTTGTGCTGTGTTTAAGCAACACTTGATAGCATTGGGGATGTTGTGCATTGCAGCAAGTTTTCATGCTGATCTTGTGGTGAAATTTTAGTGGGTAAAAGGAGCAAGAATTTCCTACATTTCACCTTAAACTACAAATTGTAAACTACAATTACATAAAGGAAATCTTTAAGGGGAACTACTGTTTACAGGTATTGAAAATATGAACTTCATCCATGGTCTTCCCCCTGCTGCTTTTACAGGGTTGATCCTGATAGCCCACTGCATAGTGATCTTCAAGTCTTAAAAGAAAAAGAAGGTGTAGAATACATTTTACTGAACTTCTCTTTTAAGGTAAGTGTCTGTAGGATGAAAAGCTGCAGTTAAATTTGAGGCTTACTATAGAAAATTACTGAAGTGACCCTCAGCTGTTACTTGGGTAATAATGGAATGTAGCATTAAAAAAGGGCAGGAAAAGAAAACTAACTTAAGTTCAGCACTGAAGCTTCCCCAAAAAAATGCATTTTTTAGCCAATACTATGGAAAGTTAATTTTTACAGAACTAAAAATTTGTAGTACTTCAAATCTGATTTGACAAATAAGACTATTGAAATACTTTCTGTTCGGGAAGCAGTGTCACAGTATTTTCCTTAACCTTTTTTTTATTACTCTTTTCAGGATAACTTCCCTTTTGATCCTCCCTTTGTGCGAGTGGTGTCTCCTGTGCTCACAGGAGGGTAGGTTTGAGTTGCCTTGGAGAAGTTGTGCTTTGTGGTAAAAATGTTACAACTTGAAAAACTCCACGCTTGCCATAATGGGGAGGGTTAACATCTCTCTTCTTTCTCCTGTTGTAGGGTGCTTTGGGTTGGTGCTTTGAATGGGTTTTGATCCCTGTGTTGCCTTAAGTTTGCTGTAAAGTCTTACCTGTCTCTCTCTTGCTCATAATGCTGCCATAAAGTCTTTGTTTAAAAATTCCTCGAATGCTAATCCAAACCCACTAAATCGAATTGAAAACATGCTCCAAATGTCATCTAAAGCATGTTTGAAGTGCTGTCTTTGGCACTCGTATATATCCATGGAGAACCTATTAAATTCACCTTTCAAGACTTTTATGCATCTCCTGGTGACAGGAACGATACCTGCTTTTGAAAATGCAGTCTGTGATAGCTGGTGCTGATTCTTATGTGATTTTTATTGCCATGTATTCTTCTTTAATTCAATAAATGGTTAGTGCAGTTAAATAGGGTTCCTGAGGAGTGCTGCTATCTCAAAACTAAACAAGCAGACCCAAACACCAGAAAATCCATTGGATTCTAATTTCATTGTGCTCAGACTTCTTTTTAGAATGAAAAAAGGATGGCTTTTCAGTAGTCATTTCCCTCGGAATGTCGTATGGATCTATGAGGTTTAAATGTCTTGATCATAAAGGAGAGTACATTTTGGCAATGGTAAATTTTCTTCCCTTGGTCCAGGTTTTCTCATGCTCAAGTGTTCTGCTGAGTCCCAGTCAGCACAATGGATAAAGTGTTTTTGACATTTAAAAAAGCTATTTACAGAAAAAGAGCAAGAGAAGATCTGGTTAGCTCATATTATTTATTAAAGTGCAACTACATTGTTTGAACACAATTGAATTTTGTTGGTTTCTTTTAGCTACACGTCTCTACCATGTATATGTAGAGTAGCCATAAAAAGTAACTTTGCCTTTGTGCAGAATAGCTCAGTCAGAGGTTTAAACTAAATCTAGTTAGCAAACAACTTTTTTTGTCTCACTAATTTTCTTTGCTGAAGTGTAACATGGCTAACCAGTTCCAATATATTACTGGCTAAAGGGCATTTCAGCTTTATGAACAAACAATTGAGCAAACAAGGTTAGCAGGAGCTTAAAGTACTGTGAGCACTCACATCTTTTTACTAACTGCTGATGTCAAGTATATTTTCTTTTACATTTGTTTCTAGGTATGTCCTAGGTGGAGGTGCATTATGCATGGAACTTCTTACAAAACAGGTGAATATGAGCACTGTTATCTGGATAATAAAACATGCCTGAAAATAATGAAAATAGGTGCTTCCCTTGAGTTGAGGAATCCTTGTGTGGAATAAACTACACACGCCAAAGGAAACATGATTAAATTAAACCTCAATCCCACAAGATTTGCCTCACTGATCTTGTTTGAGATCTTATTTTCTGCCTTGGATGGCTTACAAGAGATGTGAGGAAAGAGGCAGGCAGTGTGAGCATGCAAACTTGGAGCTCTCAGAATTTCTGTGAGGAAGGCAGTGTGGAAACACATTGTTTTCTTTTCTAGAAGCCTCTTCAACTGCATAAAGTCAGCTCTGGAGAAGTGAGGAATACAGATGATCATAGTCATAGATGATTTTTGTAGACAGAGTGATTTTTCTCTTTAAAATAAGTAAATGAATGAAGTAACTTGCAGGCTCTGGCAGAAACTCTTGTGAGCTGTGGAAGGTAAAGCAATGCCAGAGATGAGCAGAATTCCTACAGCTTGCTGAATTGACTTCATTAAAGATCAGTCTTTTCTACTTCTTGGAAAAAGGAGTTGTAATTTCTGTTGTGACATTGATGAAAATGTGTCAATGCTGTAAGGATGGAGCTTTTTTGTTTTTGTCTTGCTATATTTTGGAAATGTGCTTCAGCCTTTTCATTCTTCTTACGAGTTATTAGTACTAGGACTGTATATAATTTTACAGATTTTCTGTGGAAAAGAAATGTTAACTGAAAATAAGTAGTTAAAACTGGAATGCAGGAAAAAAAATCCTAAAGCACATGTTCCAAAACAGATTTGCAAGGTGAGCACAAGAAGCAAGTACATGTTGTATGTTGGCATTCTTTTCCTCCTCCAGGGCTGGAGCAGTGCCTACTCAATAGAATCAGTCATCATGCAGATCAATGCCACTTTAGTCAAAGGAAAAGCCAGAGTACAGTTTGGAGCCAATAAGGTAAATGTACTGTGTTTCTTAGTTACACAAATCACTGTTGGGCTTCCATTTCCTTGCTGACTGACATTGAGGATGCTTAATGACAAAATTGTTATGACAAACATATATGCATTTCAAGTTGGCGGGTGCCTATATGTGTATTTTATTGGCAATTAAACATTTTTTATGTAATTACAAGCAGATGAGTTGGATAGTCTTGGGATGGGCAGGGTAGGCTTTTGCTGTCCTTGTATTGGCAAGGGAGGGGGAGGCAAGGAGGATTAGAATTGGGAGGATTTGGAATTTCAGGCTCTGAGAAGGGAATTCTGAAAGCCAGGAATGTTATAACATTGTGTATGGGCTTTATTTTTAAGTCCACTGTAGCATTTCCTTGTTAGAACTGTTTTGGAGTCGTGCATGTCTAGATGCAGGTTTTTATGTTGGTTTTTTCTCCTTTCAGAATCAATATAATCTAGCAAGAGCACAGCAGTCCTATAAGTCACTAGTACAAATACATGAGAAAAATGGTATGTATATTCTTGCCACTTTGTTCTTGTCTGCACAGCACCTTAGGAATTGGTGTTTGCCACAGAGAAACTTGAAGTGACAAAGTGTCTTATTTTGGCTTGGGAAGACCATAAATGTTTCTTCCTTCTTCTTGCACTAGAAAAGCAGTAGTGCTTAAATAACTTAACTGCAATCACTGCAACTTTTCCAGTTTACTTGAATGTTGTGTGTGTTCCTGCTGCTTCTTGAAAGGCAGCTGCATTTTGTTTTCAGCCAGTTGATCTAGGAACTTTACTGTTACTGTAGCATTAAGGACTCTTTAATATTGGCAAAGTATCTGCTGGGAGTTTATCCCTTTCCCTGAAGGATTTTGTTTCAATGTGTCAAGAACCTAGTGGAAATAACATTAATGAAGAAAAAAAAGTGGGGAAAAAAGACCCGAGACTAAACCATACAAGAAGTCCAAGTGAGGTGTACAAGCTGGGAAAGTGTACAATAGAATAGGGAAAAGCCTGTTTTGGTATGAGCTTTTTAAAGTCTCTGCTGCATAAAACAAGTGTACAAATGCTTTAGGTACAATTGAATTTACTGTGGCAGTATGAGAAGCTTGAGGCTTTAAAAGGTTTAAGTAGCTTACATGTTACATAAAGGTAGTCAGCAGAATTGATACTCTGGTCTTTTGATGAGAGCCCCAGTGCAGTTACACTTCCATGATGTTCGGGGCCCTGGGTTGGACACAGTGTCCTCCAGGAACTGAGGTCATTGTAAATGTGTTTGTGAGCACCTCGGCTTCCCTGCTGCTCACATGGAACATAACACCTGTACTCCTGGGAGGAAGATAAAAGAGAATGATTTAACATCTCAAATTTTACAGTATTTTGATCTTGCTGTTAACTGAGCCTTTTGCCTTTTTGTCTGCTACAAAAGCCAGCGTGGCTGTTTACTTGTGTGTGCTACAAGTGATCAATCCTGCCTCAGGATCTGTACACAAAGCATTCACAGTACTCAGTGCTGCTGTGAAAGGTGTCTTAAGCTTAGAGGTGCTATGCGCTCTCTGGGACAGCACAAACAGGCCTTGTAGTTACTGTACACATGTTTAAAGGAAATGTTACAAGAGGGGCTGGGAGAATTAAGATTGGAGCTCTGGAGGTCTCTAGAAAAAGCAGTGCACACCTGATCAGGTATGATTCAGCTGCTAAACATGCCAAATTAGGTCAGGAGACCAGTTATCCATCTGACATTTCTGAGCTTATTCCTACGGTAAGACTTGCAGAAGTAGGATAAGCCATTCAGTTGCTCCTGCAGGCCTAACTCTACAGAACACAAACCCAGTGCAGTCATGTTTATATGTCTATGTTTTAAGTAGCTTGAAGACTTGGGGGTTTTACCTCTCTTCGGTTAAGTTTGGTTAGAGCAATGCTCCTCCTTCAGCAGCTTCCCCTTGTTAGTGTTCTGCTTGTCCAGCTCAGGATAACTGCTGCTGTAGAAATCCGTGTATGCACACCCAAATACCAGGTCAGATCCTGGTGTGTGCCACATGGTTTGTCTTGCACTGCTGACTTATTCACATTTAGGGCACTGGGTCTCGCTGAGCTGGCCTGCTTTAAGAGGGAAGGACTGAGCCAGGTTAGGCTTCCATCTCCCACAGGTGAAGAGTAGGATGGTCTGGACACAGCAGCATTGGTACCTAACATCTCTCTGTTCTCCACAGGCTGGTACACTCCTCCAAAAGAAGATGGCTAAGGCTGAGGACTGTTGTATACCTGGACCAATGTCAACAAAACAAGCTCTTTTTTATGTTTTCCAACACACAGACTCAAGCTATGAGTGCCCCTATAACAGCTGTACTGAGGACTTTAGCTATTAGATAAGTTAGTGGATAATCTGTCAACTGACACGTACAGTATAAGTTACAGCCTTACCATTCCGCTCTTCTTAGGCATCTGGACTGAGCAGTTTGGGCCTTTACCGTATTTGTTCTTATGGAGTAAGCAGATTTGGGCCATGCCCTCCCTTCTCCCTTTTTTTATTTGAAAGCATAAACTCTCCCTGCAGCAGGCTATTGACTTACTAAAGATCATACAATAGGAGTGAGTTGTTCACACACTTCTGTGTATTTCTTACTTTTTGCAAAAGGCAGACTGCAGAGACTTGCATTGTATTGTTTCATTTAAAGCCAAGAAGTTTAATACATTGTTTAATACTGTTTTAGGAAATGTCAGGTCTTGCAAATCACAGTAGTTTTTCTGGTCTAAAATGACAGAGTTTGTAGTATTTTCCAAATTAATGATATAGGAAAAACACATGTATGTTAAGTCATTAAACATTTTTCATGGCTGTATGAGAATATGAACTTTTTATTGGAAAAGATGCTCTTTGTTTAGATTATTTTAATTTTTTTGTTTGTTTTTTTTTTATTTTGTTTTGGTTTTATGCAGAGCAAGGCTGTGCCAATAAAACCTTGTAACTAGTCACGTCCACTGGGGCATCAGAACTTGCTGGGCTGTTCCTGCTACTTGTTGGCTCAAGCTCCTTAACAAGAGCCACAGTATGAAGCTTGAAGTTATTTAAAATACTAAAAACCTTTTTAGGTGTTCCATTTTATTAACGGGTTGTTGCAATCATTTCTAAACGAATGAACTTATAAAGTGATTGGCACAAATTGAGATGAAAGTCCTTGAATGAAAAAATTTTATATAAAAACGACAGTAAAGTACAAAAACATGTCATCCAGTTAGAGGCGTAAGAAATGCTGCCATAGTCATGACGGTGGCTTTGTTATTGAAAGACTAATGGGAACTGTTCTTTCTTTATTAGGAGATGAGTCTGGGTCTGTGTACTTAAACAATTTCATTGCCTTACCGGAATCGACTCTTATTTTGGTTGTAGTACTTACTAGTCCTTAGGCGTGTGCACTCCTCGGGGCCGAGCGAAGGGTGTGTTCCATGGATTAAGCATTTCAGAAGTGCAGAAGCATGTTTTTATGGGTTTTTTTTAGTTGACTATCGAACTTGTGCTCTTTTCTCTATCAGGCGCCCGCGGGTCCTTGTGCATTTGCTTCTAGATCCAGTTTTTAGCTCGAAAGAAACGACCTGGGCGAGGTTTAGCGCCGCTCCCAGGGCGCGTTGTTGCGGTGCGCCGGGGCTGGGGCGGCCCCGGCCTCCGCCCTGCGGCGCATGCTTCGGTTGGGGTTCCGTTTCTTCTGGCAGAGTTCCTCGGCAATGTACAGTAATTTGTAAACTTGCATCAAGTTTATGAATAAAAAGCATTTTACGAAGCGCTGTGTCCGTGCTGGGGCCCGGGGCGCGAGGGAAGGGGGAGGTGAGAGCGGGACGGTCCTCCCCGCCGCCAGGCGGCGCCAGTGCACCGGCTCGTGCCCGCTCGCGCTGCCGGAAGTTGCCTCAGGCGCGGCGGCGCGCGGGTGACGCGGGGCCGGGGAGGCGGCGGGGCCATGGATTCCGGGGGGAAGGGCGGCTACGTCCTCGCCAACCTCGCCGAGGTGGTGGAGCGTGTCCTCGGCTTCCTGCCCACTAAGGCGCTGCTGCGCGCCGCCTGGTAAGGGCCGGGACAGTGGGGTGGGCGGCGGCCGGCTCCGGTCGGTGGGGGCGGCGCGGCTGACGCGGTGCGTCCGTGTTGTGTTGCAGCGTGTGCCGGCTGTGGAGGGAGTGCGCCCGGCGGACGCTGCGGACGCGGCAGCGAATCGCGTGGGTGTCGGCGCTGGAGCCGGGCCCCGCCGAGAACCACGCGCTGGTGCGCGCGCTGGCGCGCGAGCTCGAGGTGAGGCGGCGCGAGCTCCTGGGGCGCGCGGGCCGGGGCGCGAGCGCTGCGCGGCAGCGCCCGTGGGAACCGCGGCCCCACCTCTGCACTGCTTACCAGCATCGCACTGCTGACAGCAGAGGCCAACAGCCATGAATGCAGTGAGTTTAGATAGTGCTAAAAGAAGAAGCAGAGGCACGGGCCAGTCTGCTGAGCTGTTCCTCCTTCTGTGAGGTTTGGGTCAGCTTCCTGCCTGTGGGTAGAAGTGCCTCTGGGCACTTCTGAGGCTAATGAGAGGTTATCTGTTGGCTGGCAGGAGTCTGGTAAGGGGGGAGGGGACCAGTGTGGGCTGGTGGTGGAGCAGGAGCTGTTTATCCTCGGTTTCCACCCCCACTTTCTCTCCACTCCGTCCTGTTGTGGCATTCACATTCTCTGGACAGAGAAACGTAATTCTGTCTCTCAGGAGAAGCACAGAGAGAAGAAGAGAAAACAATCTTTATCTCTGCTCCTTTGTTTTCCCTATGTGGAATCTGGTATGGAGATTGTTTACCTGAAGTTATTGCTGGATTGGATTCTGGTGAAGGTTGTTTGGGTTCAATGTCCAGCTGGATTGAGCTGTGGCTCAGACTCTCAGCAGGCAGTCACAAGTTTGTTAGTTAGTTGGTAATTAGTTGATAGGTAAGAAGTATGTCTGTAGAATAGTATAGTCGCTCTTTAAATAGTATATTAGTGTAATCTAGTGTAATTTTATAAAGCTGTCCAGCCTTCTGATCTGGAGCCAGACATCATAATTTCTTCCTAGTTGGGGTTGCCTTTTTTACTATAGTCCTGTCTATGTACTCCTCCGCCTGTGTCTTTGCAGAAGGTGCACGTGCTGCCCCAGACCGTGCTCTACATCGCTGATGCAGAGACGTTCAGCGGGCACGAGGAGTGTCACGAGCAAAAGAAAGGTAAAGCCTGGACCTAACTCACTCCCACTTAAAGACATGCTGGATGTGAGTAGAGCATAGTCAGCTGAAAGGGAATTTTCTGTGTTTCGGTTTCAATGGAAAGGACATGTTTTGCAGAATCCGTGACTGCGTAGTGTTGCATTTGTGGTGCAGAGCAGCTCAGGATGTGTGTTAGTGTGCACAGCCGGGTTCCTTTCCCTCCTCCGGAGAGCGCTGCGTGTTTGCCTGCTGGCAGCTCTCCGGGAGCAGCACAGACCAGCGTGCTGTTACCAGGGCGGCCACTGATGGGCAGCATTGGTTAAACACCACGGGATCGGCTGTGGGATTGCCTCAGAGCACACTTTTACTGCTGTCTGATGGTTTTATTGGTTCTTCTTGTTTTAACAGCCAGAAAAAGAAACAGTAAAGAAACAGCACTCGCACTTGAAAAGTTGTTGCCAAAGCGATGTCAGGTTCTTGGACTGGTCACCCCAGGGATTGTAGGTAGGAGCAAAATGTGTGGATTTTTGAGTGGTCAACTTGAAGGTGTCATCTCAGCACTGTTCAGCACTGGTTTCAATTTTAAGGAGTTCACAGTGTCACTGCTAAGTGACGTGGGGCTTACTTCATGTATTGCAGTTATAATTAAAAGGATTGATTCAGTTAGGCAGGCAGCTTTCCCTGGCACCTTAATGTACTTACTGAATGTTGCTTGGATTTATGTATACATTTCAGTGACATTGTGACCAACTGTAGAGGGCATCCTAGTATATACCTGTTTGAAATGGTCTAGCAGGAGGCATATGCAGTAACTGGAAAATTCACAGCCTCCTGCGGCATGCTTTTTCTCATGCTTCACTTTTATCATTAGAAAGTTGTTTTTTTATGGTTTGTCACCTTAAATTCACTTCCCATATCATAAGTAAGGTATTTTGATTGTTGTCATTGCCATATTTTAATAATGCGCTCTCAATTTTTGTGTCAGTTTTGCTTTGTACTGTCATCGCATGCTTATAGGATATCTTAAAAACTTGAGTATGTCTGTGTGCTTGCAGAAGTTGGCAGGAAGGCTTGTATTGCACTCTTCTTGTTTGCCTAATGTTTTATATTTGGTGTGACTGGGGAGATATGTGTAAATATATCCATGTCTCCATGTCAAAACTGACTTCAGTGTGATCCATAGCCAGCGGGACTATGCATTTCATCTTTCCAAAACATTAACAAAAAAAAGTTAGTTTTCAATTAGATAAGTTGTTGCGGAATTAGATTGTCATGTTTTATGTTACCTGAGCTACCTCTTTCTGCCTGTGTTAGTGTAAATGCGTGTATTAGAATCTCTGAATACAAGATCCTTGGTTTTGTCTCCGTAGTTACCCCGATGGGTTCAAGTAGCAATCAGCCTCAAGAAATTGAAGAGGGTGAAGCTGGGTTTGCTCTGTTGTTTCCCAAAATTGATGGGGTGAAAATTCATACCTTCCATTTTTCTAAAGATGTGAAGAACAGGGTCTTTGATGAAAGCAAATTTGCTGAAGCAGGTATGTAATTTTTCTCTCCTTTATGTGGGCTTTTGTGAGGTGCTGCTCTCTGAAGCGCCAGTCTGGAGTTCTGAGTAGAGCGAGCAGCTTCTGTACTGGCTCCAAGAGCCTCCGTGGGGCTCCAGCTGGTGACTGTGCATCTCTGCTCCTCTCAGTCTCTGGAGTACTGAGGAGAAGTTATCCCCAGTATCGGTTTCCCATTACCTCAGTGTCCTAGTTTAGGGCAAATGTGGGAGACAAACCTCTGGAAGGAGTCCCCAGAAAACAAACCCCCACGGCCCCTTGCCCCCACCTGGTTTGGGAAGAATTTCCTTGGAGAGAAGTGGGAAAAAAACCTGTTTATTTAACAAACAAGACACTCCCCAGCACAAAAAAAAAAAAAAAAAAAAAAAAAAAAAAATTACCAACACCAGATGACAACAAAACTCTTTCACCACTCTGAAGAGATGACAAATCCAAAAGTCTTTCCTGGGAATGGTCGCCCGGGTCTGGGCGCTGGGGATTGCTCTGGGCACTGGGGCTGGCTGCTGCAGATCACAGAGCGCAGGCTATCGGTGTCTCCCAGATCCCAGTCTGGAGCAGGTTGGATGGTATTCAGGAAAGGGAAAAAAAAACCAGTCCAGGGAAAGAACTGGACTGCTTAGCTAAACTAACTAGAAAGCAAAGGCAAAAGCAGAAGCAAGCAAGCGAAAGCCAGCAAGCAAAGCAAAAACAAGCCAGCCAGCACCAGCCTCTTCTAGACAACAGACCATGGCAAACCTTCACTTTCAGAGTCAGTTCTGAAAGCACAGAACATAATATCAAACATAAACAGAACACACGACTGGGGATACCAGCATCATAACATCACCCCATGACACTCAGTTATGTTTCAAGTGGAGCTGTTCAGAGAGAGGTGTGATGTATTATTTGAGGAGAAGCTAGGATGGTTGGACTTCAGAGTTCAGGATTTAAAAATAAGGGGATCAGTGTTGGCTTTTGTTTGTAGGTCTGAAGAATAACCCAGATCTCCGTGTTGTTCTTCTGTTTGGCTACAACTCCTGGAAGACTGGAGCTACTCGATTTTTTCATCAAATAGTCAATCCGCTGAATGAGAAAAGTATCATCCTGGCTGGGGGACAAGTGGAGAGCTTTACGTCACTGACCTCTGAGAAGTAGGTATTTTTTTCAAGGTAAATGATGAAAAAGATTTAACATGAGAGAAGCATTGCAGATCTGTAGCCTTATAGTTATATTGAAAATTCCCTTTGCCAGTAGTAAGATAACAATTTCTTAAAGGGAAAAAATGTCACAACTGCTACACTGTCATGTAGCCAGAAAAGCTGGAAGCTTTGTATAGCTGTGTTACAATTTGGATGCTGGAAAGTCAGCTAGGAGAAACCCAATGAAAAGGAGATTTCCAGCTTCAGATACCTCTGTGTGTTTATTGCAGTCCGCATATTGTCTCTGGAGTGCAGGTAAATGAGTGACGGAGCCCAGGATGTGAGCATGGGTTTGTGTATCTGCCTGGGTTTGGCTCACAGCACAGAGCAGTGGCTGCACACACAGCCAGGAACTCTCCTGATCCACCGTGGTGCTGAAGGACGTGGCAGTCTGTCCTGTGGAGCTCAGTGCAACCATGCCCATGGCTCCTTTGGTCCCACTGGGGGTCTGCAGTCCATACTAATACCAACATCTTTCTTGCATCTGATTTTGCCAGCAGCACCATTGCCCCAGATAACAGAGCTGACTTTAATAAAGTCACTGCAGATAAAGGTTAAGTACGTAACTACTTAACCCCATGTGTCCTGGCCAACCAATTTAAAGCAACGTGAATCCAAAACCTTTACTGACTGCTGCCCTGCTTCAATGTATAAATCCTCAGCGCCTTTGCTGCTCTTAAGTTTAACTGATGTTTTAGTTGGAATTGCGTATCGCTGTGGCATACACAAACTACTGAGTTTGGCATGAGTGAAACAAATTTATGGTTAATACTTAGTAATGGATGTGGAAGTTTTTCCTTGTGAAAGGTTGCTACATAAAAACATTGTTAAAATATGAAGTCTTTGGTTTGCTTTTTAACTTTGGGTGGTATCAGAATCACTGCAACATCGGCTGCATTGAACCTATGTCTGCCACAGCAGTAGTTTAGTCAGGTGAGAAGTGGTCCCCCCAAAATGTTCTCTAACTCGGTGCCTGTTGCCTTTCAGTAACCATGCCCAGCCTGGTGACGCCTGTGGTGTGGTTGGGTTGGCTTTCAGCGGTCCCCAGATCCAGAGTGCCACTGTCCTGCTAGACCAGGATGTGGCTGATGAGAGGACAGCAGAAGCAGCCATGCAGCGTCTCAAAGCAGCAAACATCCCCGAGCACAACACCATTGGCTTCATGTTTGCCTGTGTTGGCAGAGGATATCGGCATTACAAAACCAAAAGGAATATGGAAGCAGATGCATTTAGGAAGTTTTTTCCAAATGTACCCCTCTTTGGCTTTTTTGGACATGGGGAAATAGGATGTGATCGAATAGTTACTGGGAATTTCGTGTTAAGAGAATGTAATGACATAAAGGATGACCTGCTTCATGGCTATACTACTGTTATGACTCTTATTCACCTTGGTTCAACTAAAGGAAACCAAGCATAAGTAAGATTTAATGCTTCAGTGAGCAGTTTGTTTCGTTCCAGAGCTGAGAAGTCTGGAAGAGTGGACATCTTGCAGTCAAAGCCCCTTCCAAAAGATAGACATCATTTTGGTAATATTACTGAGTCTTGTAGTTGCAATAGAGTTTACTGTTCTGTCTGTGAGAAAGCCTTGCATTTTGTGTAATCCCCTGTACACATCAGAATTGCAGGAAATTATATTTGATGGAATTCTGCATTTGAAGAAAGCCTCTTTTCTTCCGAAATGAAAATGGTTTCTACAAATCGTAGAATAATCTGAATTGGAAGGGGCCCATCAGGATCGTTGAGTCCAACTCTTGGCCCTGAACAGGACACCCCAAGAATCCCACCAAGTGCCTGAGAGTGTTGTCCAAATTCTTCTTGAGCTCAAGCAGGGCTTGGTGCTTTGACCACTTTCCTGGGGAGCCTGTTCCAATGTCCAGCCACTCTGGGTGGAAAACCTTTTCCTGATATCCACCCTAAAGCTCCCTGATTCAGCTTCATGCCACTTCCTCAAGTTCCATCAATGTTCATGAGAATGAAGAGATACTGAGGACCACAATGAGGTCTCCCCTCAGTCTCCTCCAGGCTGAGCAAACCAAGTGTCCTCAGCTACTCCTCATAAGGTTTCCCCTCCATGTCCTTCACTTCCTCATGGCATTCCTCTGGACCCCCTCTGAACTTGATGTCTTTGTTACACTGAGGTTCCCAAAACTGCCCACAGGACTGGAGGCTGCCCCAGTGCAGAGCAGAGCAGGACAATCCCCTCCCTGCTCTGGCTGCTGCTGTTGGGCCTGATGCCCCCAGGCCATGGTTGGCCCTCTTGAGTGCCAGGGCACAGCTGGCTCACACCAACCTTCCATGGACCCCAGCTCCCTTCCTGCAGCTGCTCTGCACCTCCTGCTCCCCAGTCCGTTCACACAACCAGGACTGCCCCGTCCCAGGTGCAGAATCCAGCACCACTTGCCACTGTTACATTTCATATGGTTGGTGATTTGTCAGTCTCTGCGGGGCCTCTGTCCTTGAGGGAATTGACAGCTCCTCCCAATTTAGTGTCAATGGCAAACCCAAACCCAAATGTAGAGTACTTTGTGCTCTATTTAAGTATGTAAAGCACTCTAGGAAAACTACTGATGCATTAAATCTGTCATTTCCTGGATTTTTTTTCTAAAGAGATGCAGAACTTTCCCAGAGTCCTATTTACTAAACTGAGCAGTTTTACTAGATAAAATCGATTAAAATCTTTAGAGAAAGGTAACAAATTACTTGTTAAATAAAGATAGAAGTATGTCAAAGTACCTCGCCTTCTATTCTTGGAGTAAAAGCTCTCATTTAAAGATGTTGCCCAGCTAAGAGTTCAGCTGGACTCACCTTGAACTGAATTTCAGTTGCTAAACTCTGTGGTTCAGAGTAAAGTGGCTGCCTCTTCTCTAGCGTGATTACAGTCTTTTAAATCCAGAGTGCTTAGAAATAAGTTTTATCTATCTTTAAGTTTATTTAGGAGGTTTTCTGCTCATAAATTTGGAATTGTGGGAGATACAAGATCTGGCTGTATTATATTTATATAGAGACTTTAAGTAAGACTTGTGCTTCTGCATGTTTTTTCCATGCTTTTACATCAGTGACCTGTTTTGATTGCTGCAGCTGGCATGCAGTATCAAGTAAGTAAATTCAGCATAGTCTCAGTATAGCTAATAATATATTTGCCACTTTTGAAATTCTTTCCTCCCTTTTATTTTCACTTAGTAATAGAATGACAAGAAAATAAGATTAATTTTGCACTATATCTCCAGATTTCTAAATGCTAAATCAAGCACCTGGCCCATTTTCAGTGTAGTAAAAAGAAAATACTTACCTGTTTGTTGTACAACAAAAAAACAATTTTTTGCTTTAAATGTACTAAGGAAGACTTCAGCAACTTTATGCCCATGTCTTGTTGAAACTTTTTCTGACCTTGGCCTAGCAAGCTTGAGTAGGGGTGTATCTGTCCTGAGCAGTAACTTAGTGTCAGTGTGTATTGAGCATAGACAGCACTTCCCCATGGCTGTATTGATGATGGGGTTTTTTTCAATTAGAAGACAGTATGAGCTGTGAACTGCCAGTAGGAAGATTAGTAAGTGTGGATGTGACTTGGACAACATTTAGTTATTTCATTTAGAGGGAGAGGTATCTGGAAGTGGAGTATGGTTGAATTTTCAGAGAAGCCCTTTGGTGGGAGGTGACTGTGTTTTATTTTAACATAACCAGAATGTCACATTTGGCCCTTTATGTCTGCATAACCTTCATGTTTAACAGGACAGAAAGGAAATGTTTCATTTCTGTAATGCAGATCGGATTCCTGGTGCTGCCAGCCATGCTGAGCAGCCTAAGAAGGTGAATGGCTGCTGTGTTAGGTTGGTTGAAGAGTGATGAGCCACGAGTCCTCAGGAACAGTGCAGACTCAGCCAAAGGTCAGAGAAGCTGCTGGTGAGCTCAGACAATGGCACAGCTAAGCCAGAACCGCCAGGCAGTCTGCAGGGGACAGTCAGCAGGTCCTGGAGCTCAGGGAGCTGCAGAGGTAAAAACAGTGCAGAAAAGGGGGTGGAGGGGTGGGGGGTCTGCATCAGAATCCAGGAATCCTTCTCTTCAGCATCAGCAAGTGTGGGGATGGGCCCAAAGCACCCTAGAGCCATGCACATAGCTGGAACCACTACAATGTCTGTCCCAGGCCACATCATGCTTTCCATGTGACAGGGAAATGGTGTAAGTAATAAAATTGCAACATCTGTGATTAAAGTGTTTGCTATCCAAATTAATTTTGCCTCCATGCTGTTATTTGCTCTTCAACCACAACTCCTGAGAGAACCCCAAATATATTTGCTTACAAGGTGCGTGTACCAAAAGGCAGAGATAATTGATAGAAAGTTTTGCAGTGCCAAAATTTATACTTCTGTCACTCGAAAGAAGCAAGCATGAGGTTTTAAAGTGGGTAAAGTTACTTAAATGAATATTCAGCAATTGTGGCAATTGTAAATAGCAGGACTGCTCTAAACATATCTAAAGATAAGGTCTATCTGCAGTTACAGTGCTGACAGGAATGTCTTTCCAGCAAGAGAATAGAGTTCCTAAGTGACCACAACTGGATTTTGGTTTTGTTACGAAAACAGTAAAACTTGCAAAGTCACAAGACCTGCAGGGAGGAGTGATAGTTTTGCTTACAAATTTCAAGACATTGTTTTTTCCCATGTTTTGAGTATTAATGTTTTGCTGCACATTTGTTCTTGATGCATCATTCAATCAATTGATCTGTAGGTTTCAAAACCACAAAAAATAATAGGCAAGCAATGTGATGTATAACCTTGTAGCAACACAACCAAAGTAGTAACTACTAAACATAAAGCTATTACTGCAACTTTTATTTTAAAGTTACTATACAGAGATCTCCTCATTATAGGATGCTTCTGTAACATGCAGTGGTAGTAAAACGAGAATAAATTGATAAAGAGGAGCAAAACTTTTAAGAACAAATAGTTACATATGATTCTGAATTAATTTTTAGTTTAAAATTTACCTCAAAACTCACTCAGTGTCATTACCCCCTCTTACTTTCTATTTTTCTTTCTAAAAATGGATAACATCTTTCTACTAGAAGTAACTCTGTGGTGGGAGTTCTTAGCTTTCATATCAGAAATTGGAATTAAGTTTTCTGGTGTTTGGCCCCATAAGAGAACAAGCAAAAAGCATTTGTCATTCAGATACATGCTTCTGTTTTACTCAACAGAATGATACAGAAAAATAACATTTGAAGTATAGAAGTTTGCATAAGTAGAAGTTACAAAGATCTTAAGTGTACAGTTAAGTGGTCTGTTATAGGATCTCTTATAGTTTCTGAGCACTGAGCAAACATTAAGAAAGTAATTATTTCCTCCACTGTAAGATTATTTTTCATGATTTCATGGTGGAGAAGATTTTTTTTACTTTATGAATCTCTGGTGGATCTCTAAAATCCATTTAATCTTAATATAAAGCAGTTGTATGTTCTGCACACAATTGCAGGTAACACAGTTGTTTGAGGCTTATTATCATCTGCAGTTTTTCCTGTTGCTAAGTCCATTTCTCAGCTTCAGGACTTTCAGCAGGACTCCAGATCAGCCTTGAGGGGATTCTGAACTGTAGGCTCCAAGGTGTGCAGCGAGGTAAACCAAGCTTATTTCTGCTGCTGGTGTGCATTGGTCCTGTACTACAGGTTTAGGTCAAACAAATACCAGTTTAAACATTTGTAGGGCCATTTAATTGATTTTTTCATTCCTACCACCATTTCAGGACAGTGTGGGGTATTATTCTAAAGAGAGCATACAGCTACAGTGAAAAATTGAAAACTCAAAGGAAATGCCTAAGAGAGGTTTGGATTATTTGGAAGTGGTATCACCTGGATACTTAGAATTATCAGCAGAGAAATAGCTAATTTGACTTTTTTTTCCAAGTGTTTTGATAATTTAGATGGGAAAAAAAAATATTCCCACATTGGCATATGTGTTTCTAAATGCTTTTGAAATACAATGTGTAAATTTTCATCATTACATCTCACTGGTATATTTTCCCTGAGCAGGTAGCTTAAAATTCTGAAAAGAAATGTTTCAGAGATTCACATCACTGATTCAGTGGCAGGTCTTGTCACCCTCCCATGATAAATTTTCACAGCTATAAGAGTTAGAAACAGCTTTTTTTTTTAATAAATGCATCTTAGCTGAGTTGTCAATATGGCAATAATCCTCTCAAAAGAGCAACTCTCCTAGAATCTTCAGAACTGGTGAAAATATCTGAATGGCAGCGAACTCTGTGATGGAGAATGTACAACATAGATTCAAGTGATCCAGCCCTCTAAAAAACACCATCTGTGGAAGCTCACCCAGATTTTTACAGCCCATTGTTGGCCTGCACAGAAGTTTTAGATTAAATAATACTTGGCATTGAGAGGATAATTTGAAAACAGTCTCTTTTTAATATGCACAGAAAAAAGTTTTCAAATGGTACAGAAACTCACACAGAGATGCATTAAAAAGTATTAAAAATTGGTTGTGGCTTTAATTTGGGGACCAAAACCAGCAGTATCTTCTGTTATTTCAGGTTCTGCAGCTCTAGAAATGGTTCCTGCTGAAAGGTTTAGTGGAGTATCAGTGACTGTTCCTATTTCACAGGGTTTGTATTGCCTGCTCTGCTATCATGAAATGGATCTCTTGCCTTACATACAGATTGTGTTACAGTCACCAGGAGAGCAGGAACAGACTTGGATAAGCACAAGCAGGGAACTGACTCAGAATAACGACAATTTCTGCTGTGAGAAATTCTAGCCCGCATTTCTTCCTGGCTTTCCAATTTCAAATAACTGAGTTACACAATCAAGAGTCTCTCTACAGCTCTTCAGAAATTCAGGGCCAGAAGGAAAATGTTTTCTTTTAGTGCAGTAAATTTTGAAGGAGCTGTACAACATTGACATTATCTTTAAAATGGGGAGTGCTACCAAATGGACTTCTGTTGGTTTTTCTGCCTGATGTTACCATTATCAAACACAAGACTATGTGGCACAGAGAAATCCTCATTTTCTTTGAAAAGCCATTTGACTTTCTTTAACTGTAACTTTAACTGCACTTTGCTCCAGTGTTTGTTTGGGCTGCTAATGAAAAACAAATTTATATTAAGTAACATATAAGCATATATATAACTTATAGGTCTATAAATAGATTTCCTGCTAATGGCTGTCAGTTCTGCAAGTGATTAAAAGGTTTTTGGAATACATTATGAAGAGACTTTTACTACAAGGTTCTGGTAGGATAACATGATCCCCAAGCATAAAAGAATTTTTGACATAACACTCTAATAGATTGTTGTGTACTCAACAGTAATGGAGTTTCTTAGGAAATTAGTCTTTTCCAGTTTCTTCCCTACATAACCTTTCAGCTAGTGGAGAGGTAATTTCAAAGATATGAGATCTTCTCTTTCATGAAAATGGGAGTCAGACAGGAGAGAGCCCTTATTACTCACCCTTTCATAAACATATAATAATTGTTAAGATTCCAATGACTCCAACCACAAGATCTGATCCTTTGGAACTGGTGTTTCCTTAATTGCTCACAGAACTACTTCATTAATTTTGTAAACAATCATTGCTAAAGAGTGTTGCACTGTTTTATTAAAATATATATAATGCTACCCTGTACTTTCGGTGACATTTGACCACCTGAAAATTAATCTGTAGCCTGATGACATTTTGATTTGAACATCATAGTCACAAAGTTTGTGAATTGAAATAATTTTAGAAGCTGAAATGTTCTTGGGTGCAATGGGTTCGAGGCGGTCGGAATTGCTAATAGCATTTCCTTCACAAATAACAGTGATTCCTAAATCAGCTTGTTCGCCTTTAAACATGGGGTCAGTTTATTCAGCCCCACTTTTTGTAGTGGGGAAACTTTGTTTCCCAAATAGTGCACACAAGCTCAGTAACAATGAGTAATTATTCCATGTATGTCTAGAAAGCTGACATGATTCTGAGAGCTTAGACAGTCTATTTATTTCTTGTATCTTCTATTAATATCTCCTTCCTGAATTGCCACTTAGGATGATCAAAAGCCTTTTCCTTCTTCAGTGGATACAGTATACCAAACTGTGAACCTGACTGTCTTATGATCAATAACACAGCAAAGTGATCTACCAGGTGTCATCTCTGATAAATTTTAACTGATCTGTGCAAAGTCCTTCAGGAAATGCTGATTCTGATGTAGCTGTCATTGCTGCTACGCAGATCTTGAACTCTGTACAACAGCGGCCTGTCCCTATGTAATGAAAAATAACTTCTATATTTCCTAGCCTTTACAACAATATTATCAGTTTCCTTCAGCTTATCTGCTGAAGATTTGAAGTCCAGAAAATAACATGTAATGATTGCTTAATTTGGGGAGAAAGTGATCTCCTAGAGCTTTATATAACTTATCTCTGGATCAGGTCCTCTACCTGACTTGGTGCCCTCAGATTCTCCTTTCACTGCTAAGCACTAACTTGGACTCTGACCTCTCTGACAGGAGTTTTCAGAAGGTAATGAATTATTCTGGTTTGTGTTCTAGTAACCATTGTAACATAATTTCTCTTTGACTTCTCACCGTACGCACTGTACCCAAGTGCCTTTTCTTCCCTCTCCCACTGTGCTTTTTTCTACATTGATATAAATTATACACTGCTTTTTCTGACACTAGAGCATGTAGTAGACATCCTAGAAATAGGAGTTTATTCAACATTTTCTCTGCACCTATGTTTTTATAAATCTTTAGATTGTTTCTTTTGGAGATAAGAAATCTCTGTTCTGAATTTTCTCACCTTTTAATTCATTAATTTCCTCAGTTAATCTTCCCTTCAATAAAAACTTACAAATCCCATATAATCACCTCCTTGATAATGTGCCACTATGGAAACATATCTTGATTTTTTGCTGGTTTCTGCCGCCAGTGCTAGAAATAAGTTGAAAAAAAAAATTGTTCAGTTCATATTTTCCATGCCTCTGACTAACCAGGCATCCTCTTTGTGTTTTGAAGGAAAAAAAAAAAAAAAAAAAAAAGACATGGAGCATGGTAGATGGCCTCTCTTTGTCTGAGTAAGAGAATCCTTTAATGGACCAAAGTGTGGCATATAATCAGTGTGATCAGCAGATGCTTATGTGAATAAAAAAAAAAAATCTTTGGAGAGGACAGCATTTTTTCAGCCAAGATACCTGTCTGGATAATATTTTGTGTCAGAAATTGACCTGACAAATAAAATTCCTGATCTCTGCTATCTGAAATATCAACTGGAACATTCAAGGTAAAGTTTGAATTTCCCTCAGTAGTGAGATTTTCAGAAGAAAGCCAGCCAAAATTAAAAACTATGAAGGAAGATGTCTCGCTTAGTATTAGGAATGTGCACCATACTCTGCCTAAAAAACTTTTTAAACCATTATCAATCTCTTTTCTTAATATTTCCCTTTATTTGAATAAAAATTGTGTGCCAGGAACCTGGGCAATAAACTACCAATGGTACCTCGTGCTGATCTTGTGTTACAATATTAAAAAAAAAAAAAAAAAAAAAAAGAAAAGTATTAGCTGGGAGAAAGACAGGGGGTTTTCCCCTACATCTGGTAAAGGTCTGAAACAAGCCAAATTCTGGACATGTATCACAAATATCAATTTTGAAACTATTGAATCAAGACAGGCTTCAGCTCCTCTGGTGAAATCCTGTGAAAAATTAAAAACCACTATCAAAAATTCATAGTATCATCTCACGCTAAAATCCTGTGATATCTCATTCTCTGTGCAGTAAAATAAATATTGTATTTTATTTATTTCCTATGTAGTAAAACCCAAAATTATCCCGTGCATCTACCTGTGCATTATTGAAAACCATAAAAAAATCTCACAGAATTCAAACATAAATTATAGTGATTTCTGTATAATTGATACAGTTTTAAAAGTACATAGAAACTCCAGTAAGTGCAACTGTTTAAGTCTTAGATGAAGTCTTCTCCAACATGTCAGCCTTCTGTTTCAGTCAACTTTCTTCTCTCATCTTGCTTACCATGTCACCTTCTACAACTTAGATTCTTAGGGTTGCTCTGCATGTTATTTCTCCACCATTCTTCTACTCTAATTCTTTAGGCTGTTGTTATTTCTGAAAAATAAAACATGTGACTTTAATTAACAAAAACTTCCTGCCCCGCTGCCCTTGTGGAGTCCGGTCATTTAATTTTAAACTGTACTCACTGTTGCAGCCATTGCTGCTTGTAGTTTCAACAAGGTTGGCACCATACTCTGAAGAATTTGTCCTTGGAATATAAACTTTCCTGACCATAAAAACAAAAAGGAGACAATAGAGAGAGAGAAAAATACACACAGAGTGAAAAATGTTATCAGGGAAGAGACAAGTTAATGGAATGAGTGATTTTTCCATTGGAAAAAGTGAATGGATCTTCCCCAATTACTTTCTACTTAATACTCATTTTGAGAAGCATGTGTTTGAGAGAGAACAGAGATCAGAGGGCAGTACAGTGTTTGGAACTACCTGGCTTCACTCCTGAAGGTAATGTTCCTGTTTGTCTGATTTCTTAGGTCTTTATTTAAACAATTAGTAAATAGCACAGAATTATTTATCAATTCTCTTAGTGTTTGGAAATTATGTGTAATTTTCCACACTTTGTTGAAGAGAAGCAAATCTTGTAAGTGGAGCTGATCATTTGCTGTCTAGTTCTCTTTCTTTTAATAGTAATCAGACATCTGCTCTCTTGAGAAGAGTCATGAGCTATTCTCTGTTCTGTCCAGTTTGTGTCCTGTGGTGATGTAACTCCTCCACAGTCTGTTGTCTTGGACAGCTTAAATGGCTTTATTCCTAGACCCTGTTGTTTTGGCTGTCTGAATTCTTGTTCATCAATGTTACACTTACTTTACAGGTAATTTGACATTTTAGCATGCATTTACAATGAAATACAGAAATTAAATTGCAGATTTATTTCGGTTCTCCCCAGTGTTTGCTCTATTCCTCTGAACTCTATGTGTAGCATTTAGGCTTCTCTATTGCTTTTAAAGAAAAGCTGGCTCATGTGGCATCTTTTCTCATCAGCTACCTTTCCTATTCTTCTTCCAGTAACCCTGGTACAATATGTTTCTGGAGGAGGAAGACCAGATGGACCTGGTCTGATAGGTGAATTGCTGGAAGCAGAATATGCCATGTGTTCCTCAGTAGCAGTAATAGCAGGGATTTTTGTACAGTTCCCTGTTCTGCCCATGTCACAAGGCCAGGCTTTATCAGCACTGTTTGTTGGAGAGGGTGGGGGATTGTTTCAAGATGGAGAGCGGATAGATCTGCATTTGCCTTGCCTCCATGTGCTCTGCATACTGGAAAAAATACATCATCAGCTGATAAAAATGTGATGACTCAGTTAAATGTAAAAGGAGAATTATTTCCCACTGTTCACCCAGAGCTTTCACGTGCAGCCCTACTCTTTTATGGATTACTTTCACTGTAAGTTATGATTTAGTTTCATAAGCAGAGAAATGAAACCTCCACCCTTGTATGTTGAATGGATTTGTTTTTTGGGAGCATGATGCACTTGCACATGCTTGGTCCTCAAATCTGCCCCAAATGGCCTGAGAGAAAGAAAACTTGGAAAGGAAGAGAGGTATGATGATACAGACAAGAAAATAGAGCACTGAGTTCTAGATTCCAAACGATTTGATGTATAATTTTAGGAATTCAGTTTCCTTGTCCTGAACTTCAATTAGTTTTTTAGAGGAATTAGTATTTCCTCTTCTGCACCCCTTCAGATTACCTTATAGTTTATCCTAAAACCCCACTAGAACCCTCTGCTGAAAAAGCCATGGAAATGCTCACTAACACAGTATCAGGGAAAAGGCTGATATTTGATCCACAATCTGCTCTTTGATTGTGGATCAAATGTCATTGTTAATGAAGTGGAATAGTGGAAACTTTAGCACAGTATGTCTCTTAACATTTTAAACTTAATATATCCTGTCAAGAGGCCAAGTCAAACTCTCAGCTAACCGTTATAAGCCCCAGCTCCACCCTCTTCTAAGATATAGGTGATAGATGCAGTTTGAGAAAAAAGTCTGGATTGACAACAGCTCTTAGCAATAATTCTCATTCACTCAGCTGAAAAGAGATGAGTAGATTGAAGTATCCACTTGAGACTCCTCATGTGTTGGTCGCTTCAGCCAAGAGATAAGGATTTAGAGATGTAAAGTGTTTCATTTATAGATGAGCTTTCTAGCAGATGATCATCCTACATCAGCCTCTGAAGTGTAAAGGTAAGACAATTTTAGCCAATTAGGTTCTTTTATCTGCACTAAAGAAGTTGATGATAATTTTATGAGATTTCCCAAATTAGTCTGGTGTGTAAGATAGGGTTCAAGGACAACTATGTTATAACTGAGTTGTTGCCCTTTTTATTTTGCTAATAAAGAGGCACTACTACTTGTTCTGCCAGTTAGGTAAAGAGTGAGCAAAGAGAAGTTGATGTTCTGACTGACTAATAAAAGAATTTTCACAGACCTGTCATTGCTGTCACTCTAAGATTCTGTACTTGGACCATAAAACTCAATAGATTGTCTCCAGCTTTCCCCTAATTTTACTGTATGTGAAAGAAAAGGGATCTAACACATTACTCTCTGAAGACTTTTTTTCCTTTTCTCTGAGACAATTTTACTTCTAAAGAAATACTGTCTGTATCTCTATGAGACTCGAATGATTTTTTCTTAAGTTAGTTTAAGTTGTATTTTGTTCTAATAAGTTTATAGTAATTTGCAAATGTTTTTTAGCATACAACTGCTTTGGCATTCCATGGCTAAGCAAGATTAATTTAATTAAAATTGCTAATCTGGGGGATGTCCTTTACAACAAGGGATTTTTTATACCAACTGTTTTATCCAATGCTCTCTATCTCTTCTAATTACATTCAGCTGTGGGAGAAGCTGGCATTCAGTGGGTTTCCATGACAGCAGCTGAGGTAAAACTAGACGAGCTATTCCAAAGGTCGCTCATTGAAAGGCACAGATCAGAAAAGTTGATTTAGCAATGTGACCATGGGAGCACAAACAACAGAATTGCAAGAACCCTTGGTTATCATAACCAAGGAGAAATGCAGTATAGGAGGAAAGAGAAGATTCTGCAAGTCTGTGAGTAAAGAATTACAGGGGCTATAAGGTGCCTTATAGAGATGCATAAACACATATTATTGGTATATGGCAAAGTGAGTTCTTACAAAAAGTGCTGTACTCTAAAAATAAAGAGGGGACACAGGTGCACAATAAAGAAGGCATTGCAAGTGAAGATGATACATTTATTTGGGTTTGGTATAGGTGTAGTGATATATGTACAGCATCAAATAGTTGCCTCAATCCCAGTAACTCTTCATGTGTTTTCATTCCAAGTCCTAATATGTCTAAAATGCTACTAAAACCAACCCTGCAGCACTTGCTGTCTGGCACTGACGTTTGTCTTCTACTCAAACCTGGATCATCCTGGACAAATTAGTTAGCTCTCTAAGTTGTCCTAAATGCTAGTAAACATCTACCTGGAAGTATTCTTCAATTTCATTCTTTCCTTAGTTTTCCTTTTTAGACTGGGAGTGGTAGAAGAATTAGGAGCTAATGGCACCAGCTGCTTCGGTTACCAATTCAGTAGGATCAGTTTCTGATCCCTAAGCACTTTGTTAATTTGCTTCTACTTCTCAGTCTTTGGACAACATAAGCTAGACTAATGTTTTAAAATGTTAGCACTAACTCTAGATGGACTGTAAAATCTCAGATAGGGGTGTATTTTTTACAAAGCAGCTGTAAGTAAGAGCTTAGAAACAACACTGAGAAAACTTCGAGTCAGGAAGTAAATATTACAAGCAACAAGTTCAGACATCCCCGTTCATTATGCTGAATAACCATACAACCTTATGGATAATTCATTACATACTTTTACATTCAAATAATTAGTACATGATTGCCAGAAGAAATTTCTACTTGATTGAATAGCTTCAGCCTTATGAATCACTTTTACCTGCAAAGGAAGTAGAATGCTCCAATTACAAGAACTCCTAGAAGAAGAAGGGAAGCCAAGAAAGCTGCAAACAGGTCACCTTTTGTTTGGGATTTGATGCTGGGCAGCAAAACTTCCTCACAACGAGCTCCTGTGTAATTCTCAATACACCTGGGAAACCAAGTTGTATTTGGATTAGATGGTAGCTTGTCATCTACGATGAAAAGCACAAAAGGCTTCTTCTGGGTAGAGAACATGTGATGACTCAATTCAAAAATTATATTTGCTTCACAGCAAGTTTTGTTACAGAATTTCCTCTCACCTGATTATTTCTGGAACAAAGGGAGTTAGGCATGTTGGGCATCAAGTTTACATTCTGATCCGTACTGCTTTTATATATTAAGTTTAATATACTCATCACTGACAGATTTAATTAACAAAGCTACTTCTTTAGTGTTAACTGTGTCATCCCACTGATTCTCACACAGTAGTCATGCTTTCTTTTCCCTGTTTCAAGTAATTTTCTGGCTTCCTTTGTTGAAGATGGTAGTGTCCGCTAAAGACATCAAGGACATGAGAATTCATTGAGACATAGTACAGCTTAAACTGTGAAAGTAGTTTATGCAGTGTAATAATTTGTGCCAGAACATGTTACATGCTAGGTGAATAACTCCCTCTTGGAGAGACCTACATAGAAGTCTTCTCTACTATGCTTATTTTATGTGTTGAGCTTCTGAAAACTTCTTCTGAAGAAAGGATTAAAACAAATACGGTATTTTACCATGGTAAAATGGTATGATATTTTATTAAAAATAAATAAAATCAATGGCTTAGTAATTCCTATTCAGCCAAAATTAGGTAGGTTGAAGCTAAACTAATCTTCATTTGTTATGTATTTTGCACTTATTCTGCTAAGTTTTCTTAAGGAATTGATTTCATTACAGAAAATGGAAAGCACTTCTTTTAATATCTAGATCCTGTGTGTATTTTTTATATATGTAAATTTGCTTCTTTCTATTTGTATTACTAAAGATCTTGCTCCTTCTTGCTATTTCTGGCACTGAAGTCATAATAATCTGTGACATAAGCAATTTCAGGCTCCAGCTGAGAAAAATGGGCTAAACTCTGCAACATACTTGAAATTCTCAAATGCCATTGGCAGCTGCAAGGTATAATTTCAGATGAGGGGTAAGAAGGTGGAGAGGGGAGGAACTGCAAAAAAAGAAGAATGCTTAGCATATCTAACTAGGACCAAAGATTCCCTGTGAGTTTTCTGACATGATGCCTGATGTGACTCCCATTACACTTTCTGTAAGTTATGAACCAGTATTTCAGTACTGCTGGCCTAAACCACCGCACAAACAGTTACTACCCTTTTAAGTCTTTGTCTTTGGAAATACAGAAGATTGGACACTAAAAAAAGACATCTAATTATCATCATATATTAAAGCTATGCAACTGATCAAACAGACAGCGTTTACTAAGGACAATCTGAGGCTTTTCAAAGTCATGATGTTTCACTGCTGGGAGAAGCAAGGGCAGGCAGACTGCTCTGATTGCTTGAGATAATGTTCCAGATATTTATTCTAAGTGTAGTGGCTTTTCAGTGGCCTATTTCTGAAATACTGTAGAATACTTTAAGAACAGAAGTGTAGTTTGAGTGGGGCATTGTTCTCTAGCAAGTGAGAAAGAAATGCTTTGGAGAGCTGAATAGAGTAACAGGGAAAGAAAATGGAAAAAGAAATTCATAGGAGTATTATTGAATAGCAATGAAAACTGGAGAATAATGCAAGGCTAAAATGATAGAGGAAGAAAAAGTAGGTTTTGGCATCAAATTAAGGCTCATGGAAAAGTTCTAAAGAATGAGTGTAAAGGGAGTAAGTCAGTAGCCTAAAGAGCAGAATAGAACAGGAGGAAGACAAGACAGTCACAGTTGCAGAGAGCTGCACAGAGGATCAGGTAAATGGTAAGGGTTACTGAACTGCTGTGATACATGAGAGTGAGTTGGTGTCAACAGTGGATGGAAGCTGTATTCATGTTCTGCAAAGACTGTAGGAAAAGAATTGGGAATGTGTTGACAGCACAGCAAAAGGGTCACTGAGATCATAGCACTTCCTACAAAATAGAAAACAGAACCAGATGCTTAAGGGGGTCACAAGTCTTTAAGAGGGAAAAGAGCTTGCAGGCCTAAGATGGTAAGGGTAAAACTATAGTGATATGGATCCAAGGTTATAGCAAAAAGAAAAAAACCTATACTAAAGAAGCACATGCCAAACTTAAGACATCCTGGATGCCGAACCTATTAATTCTGCATGGTTGTAACAAAAACAAGTTATAGAAATATGACTAGCTAGTTTGATAGTATCTGTTTAAATGTGAGCAATGCATTAGGGATTATAAAACTACCCATCCACTTTCTCTATGCTGGCCTATGTTGACACACTTGCTGAAAGTGATTCCATGCTATCTAGAAAATGCTGTCATATAACCTAAAATTATGTAGGTTTTCATAGGAACAAGAATATTAAGATGCAATATCTTTGGGATACATTTAAATAATAAAATTATAGCTGATGTGAACAAGCTGTGCTACAGCTACAGCATTTCTGAAAATCCAGATGTTCAGATATTCAATTGAACAAGCTTTTATGTTGTCACCTTTCCTGATGTACAAATAGGTAAAGGCCTATGTTAAAGATAGAAGCAACTGATGCTTTAAGACAACCAGGAAAGGTTTCTTCTACAAGTCCTTTGCTAAAATAGGTGAGAAAGAAACTAAGCATACTTCAGTAATTAGCAGTGGAATTCTCTCAGAAGACCTGCTTATCCTGTTGCACTAGCAAAGCTCAAATAATTTCAGTGGAGTTACATAGGCAGTGACTGCAAGCAAGACAGAGCATAGTCTCTAAAAAGCACATGGGCTGTGAACATACCCCAGAATGACGGTGTCTGCACAGCCTCTCCTAGAGGCAGCCGGTCGTACTATACACAGCCTTAAAAGCCAGCAGCAACTCCGTTTATGGATGCCTAAAAGTAGCACACAACTTAAGAGCAGTTGTTGACATGGCAGGCACTGGTGTACCTGCACTCGAATGAGTTGAGGCAAAGCCCAGAGGAGCCAAGTGCAGGCTGTAGTAAGGAGGAGTTGCACTCATTGAGTTGGTGTTCCCTGGCCATGTGTTGCTGTTGCACATCACCTGCATGCTGTTACCCTGCTGTTGTTGCACGTGCCTGGTGCTGCCTTTAAATGGCCCTACAGCATTCCAGAGGTGATTATTCAAATGGAAAAAAGGTCTTTCCCCTTCTAGGAAAATTGAATTTCTAATTCAGAGTTGAAAGACAGTAGCCTTCAATGTCTGAGGAAAATCTGTGACTAAAACCTCCCATTTTCAGCTGGCATCCAGATTTCTGCTCTCCTAGATAGCTGCACACACATGCACACACACACACCTCTTGTCAGATGAGATGAGCCAGCCTAAACTGTTGTATACAAATGTCCTATAGGAGCTCCAGACAAAACACTAGCGTATGGAAAGAAATTTATAGAATCTTTCAGCATAGGGTATTAATCATGTCAGCATCAATGCAAGGTGGAAGAAAATAGACTGCATTGGATCAGATGTCAGGAGATGACCAGCAGGTCTGCAATTACATTGATCCTTTACAGTCTGATCAGTCACTGAAACATAACAGCCCTGCAGTAACACGGGCACCACTGCTGTCTCCTCTCAGATGCTGTTTGTTGGACAGTGCAAATCATCCTATGGCACTGGGACTTAGGAAGAAGGTAAAGTGTCTTTCTTTGCCAGACTCTAAGGTGGGCATCATAAGGAAGTATCTGATAGACTGTAAAAGTAGGAAGTCAAATTGGAGTCAAATACGCACACAGATCCTCACTGCATTATACTATCAGGGTGTTGACTTCAGTTTTCATTTAGTCTTCCTTCACTCAGGAAAATTTTGGATACTTCTTGGTATAAATACTACTTCCATGTAAATACAAAGCTCTGAGCAGAAAAAGACAAGAAATTATCTGCTTGTCAATGCAATTCAGATTTCATGGCTGATAGCTTCAAAATCAACATAATCTTCAGTCTGTAGCAGACTCCTAAAAGTTCTCCTAATACATTCGGTCTAAGAACATCTAGTAAGTATGAAAAAGAATTTAGAGCCAAAGTGAGTAAGCAATGGCAAAGTTAATTGGATATCTAAGCAGCTTTTAAAAAAGTTTTGCATTTAGAGAAGTTTCAAAACAGTTACTCTCTATACACAGAGAGTAAAATAAAATGTTCCCACTGGAGAGAAGTTGAAAGAATGGGTTATTCTTCCCTAAAAGAATGGCTTCTTCTCCCCTCCCTTAGCTATGTGTTTGTATGGGAAGGTTTCCCTTTCTGGCAGTTATATTAATTCAGATTGCTAATACTTTTCAGACACATAAGAGTGTGTTGCGTTTTATATTTTACATCCGATTAAAAGGAAATCTTAATTATTGACTCCTTTTAGCTATACTTTTGGTGTGAATTCTAACTTTTGTTACTACCTTTCAAGCCAAAAGCAGAATTGAAAAATACTAATTGGACAGTTTGATTACAGAAGAGCCTGAGGTACATTAAAATGTAATTTTGGAGGCAGAGAAAAAAGAAAAGCCCAAATGACTGGGAAGCCCCTCCCTGGCAACTTGCAGGGTGCATATTCTGAAGGCTGCGAGCACAGCAAGTGTATGACTTGTGGGCATGTCTGAAATAGGGAATGGCAGAGGGCCAGGCAAGGAGGGAGTGTACAGAAAGTGGCAGAAGGAATTAGCATGGGATTTACTGGATTATCATAGGAAATGTGGAGGAGAGATTCCATTAGGATGGAAGCAAAGGAAGGGAAAAAGGAAGAAATATCCTTGAAGATATACAGGAATTTCAGGGAGGAGATTTGCAAGGTCTGCCTGTGTCTCTTGCAATACTTAGCCCTCAGCAGAGTAGGATCCCTGTCCCAAAATGAGAGCATTTACTGTTGATTTCTGTGTGTGCTGCCCTCTGAAACAGAGCTCTGTGCATGTTGTCTTACACCATCTGTATTTTGCTTGAAATACAGAAAGAATGCTCTCAGAAATATGCCAAGTGTAAGAAAAAATGGGAGTACCAGAGCTTCCCCTCAGAAACCAAAATCATCACTTAATTCTGCAGTGCATTAATTAATGATTATGGGACAACTGTGCATCAGGTGCTGAGCCAAACAGCTTTCAGCCTTGATGCACCTGAGGCAGCTGCTTTTCCATCCTCCTCTGTCCTGCTGCCTGTTTATTTAGTTCATTTGAGTGTTCCTGGGTTTGAAGCTCATCTGGTTTATGGTGACAGGTGTGCTTTTTACTGCTGAGAACATGAACTCCTTGTTGGGAAAGCAGTGAGGGAAGATGGCAGCTGAGCAACCACATGTTTTAATGCATGTCAGCTGTATTTAAAATCTGCTACTGTTGCACATGGAGGGGGGGGGTCAACTAATGTTCAACAGATATTAAATCTGTGCCTTGGATAAATCTATTTCTGAATGATAAAAAAACCCTGAGATTCCAAAGGTAAACAACAGTTCTTCATTTTTATCATGCTACAAAACACATATTTCTAAAAAATGATATATTTTTCTTGGTCACATGGTGAAATTACGTCCAATGATGTTGCATAGAGTAACTCTGCTGAGCACAACACATTTGTGTGACTAAGTACCATGTCAAGGCAAATGTGTTTTAAGGTATTTTTACAGTTTGCTAGTCTGTTCTTTCTACATCTCCTCCTTTTAATTAACAATCATTCAGCCCTTGATTCTAAAAGTGATTTGAGTTTTCTTTCAGTAGGACATGATAATTTGAGAACACTGGGGAGCTTTGGGTGGGATTTGGCAGAAACCTTCCACAAAGAAACTGTGCAAGTCTGTGATGATGCCAGTCATGAAGTTCCAAAGTACCAAATATTTTCTGAATTCTGCTGAATAGTGATGCATTTTTGCTGTTGTTTCTATTCACATCACTGCTGATTACTAAGATATCTGTGTGTAAACAAAACCTTTCTCATCTATAATTAGCCTTCTCTGACTGATTAAGGAACATGCTTAGAATGAGGATGTGCTTAAATAGAATGCTGCTATTTAAACCCATCTAACTTCATAATCAACCACTAGATACAGAAAAAAATAGTTGATAATTTAAATGCTATAAGATTGCCTGAGTGTAACAAAAATGTTCTTAAGATGTTACTTTTCTGCTTCAGCAGATTATAAAAACCTATAATACCTGAATTGAAAATTACTTCATTTGGAGCTGTTAAAGTGGAAATTATCTCTGCTGACTAGTTTGTGCTCCTGAAGAATGAATTTTTCTAAGTATTTGTTACTTCATATTTGTAGTCATTGCGCTGAATACATCTTTCTTGTTACACAGTCCAGCAGTAGTTGAGAGGTTGCTTTGAAATTGTGTAACTGCTGCTCTTTAGTTTAACCATTCATTTTTCATTTATGTACAATAATACAGAATTCCTTCTAGAAAAAAACCCCATGTATTTCAAAATGTTTTACTTTTTTTGTGTAGTATTCCTTTTTATATTGCATAAGCTTGCAAGGTTTAGCACATAGAATAAATCGTCATACAGCACTTCAGAGCTTTAATCTCACTTCTGGATCTGATTCATTGTGACACTGAACAATGACAGTGATATGCTGTGTATATTTTTCAATGAGCATTTACCACAAAATTGCCTCTTTTCTCCCTGTCTAAATAAAGTTTATGTGCTTCAGTTTAAGTATTCAGATTGAACTGTCCCAAACAAAAGGAAGTAATATTTTAATTAGGCATCTGGGAAAAAATGTTGTTTCCTTCTTCAACTTTTTTATCCAGTTATCAGTAGTTATAGCTCAAGGCAGAAGAGGAAACATAAGTTGCCATGGAAGAAGAAAGGTAATATCCTTAAGTGTATCTAATATTTGTCTAAATGCCTATTTTTTTGTTAAGCAAACCCATTAAATCAACCATAATTTATTTTGATGGATGATAACTCAGAATTAGTAAATGCAGGACCATGAAAAGTGGCAGTGTTATTTCGCATCTTATGTCTTGTTAAACCAGAGAATAAAAAGATAGGGCAGTATTTATGCAGGAAATGTATCCACATGCAAAACCAGGAACTGCTTCTTTTCCTGTTTGCTACATGGGCTTCAGAAGGAAGAATGGTTCTGTTATGGAGTGGTGTAAGAAGGATCTGTATTTGCTGCCTTGATGATTTTGTCAAGAAGTCTTTGGCTGTCACTACAAAGCTGCTCTTTGAGCATTTCAGCACGATTCGAGTAATGCAGTAAGTCTTGAATTACATTCTTTTTTCCCCCTTAAAAGATTATATTATTTTTTGTGTCTCTGCATTTTGTTCTGGTCAGGCCATTTTATATTACAAAGATTTTTGCAACATAATTAATTTGTAAGAAAAGCTGTACTTTGCCTTTCTGAATGCCTTTACCACAGTTTATATTCCATGAGGCAAGGGTATTTTGTTCCTTCTGTATTGTAATGAGGAACTATGGCTCTAATTATAGATATAATCCTGAATGCATACATAACTGAATACTGTTCCACCTGACAAGAAAGTATACACCAAATATACACATTTCTTTTTCTCATATTGCTATGTCTCTGTAAACTAGGTAAGTAACAGGTAATTGGTATTTTCTTTTAGATAATGCTTTAGCAGTGATTCCTTAAAGAGGGGAAAATGGAGGAATAGTCTTTAGACAGCTACTGTCCAATACTTAGACACACAAACTTTAGTTTCACTGACCTGCAGAATGGACTGGATACAGTAGGAATCATATAACAAATCCCTCCATTTAGGCAAAAAGATCCATAACTGGTGCCACAGAGTTCTTCATGATCTTAAAAATAAGACCAAAACAAACACTGAGAAAAATATACTTTAAACCAAATAAACACAAAAATAAATTACACACAAATGAAACCTGAGCAAAAAAGGTTTGGGTCTTGCCTTCCAGGTCAGCAACACAGAGCATGGTTTTGCAGAACTGTTTCATCTTACAATATGCAGAAAAGATCAAAAATTTATCACCGTATCAGACATGAAACAGCTAAATTAGATGAATAAATCAAACTCTCTCTTGCAGTGAGAAATTCTCCATTTCTTCCTTTGCCTTTCATGACCACTCACCATAGTGAGTACAGTGATTCACATGATGACCTATGTGAAGTCTGGTTTGTCCTATTCCAGTGGCACAGTTACCAAGTTGCCTTTAGCTTAGTTGGCTCCTGCAATTAAGTCAGTCAGGCAGATGCACCCAGTCCCAGGTAAGGGCCAGGACATTCTGGGCTGCATGAAATCTGAACTGTAGCACACTGGGACACCCCCACCTTTCCCCATCCCAATTCTCAGTGGCCAAACCAGGGCACAGCCTGCAAGCACACACTTATGTACAGAGTTGCTGGCTACAATATCATTTCCACAGATCTAAAAAAGGCTTTTTCCTAACTCAGTAGGCTTCTTAGATGAATTCTTAATGTGTTAAACATAATTAGGCATTCTAATAACACCCCAAATGCAGGACACTAATGTTGGCACTTGTAGCAGCACTTGTCCATTTTGTGTTTAAAAAGCACATCTAACTGTACCACTTCACTCTTCCTGAAAGCAGTCTAAATTTGGAAGTTAGACTGAATATATTTATGACACATTTAATACATCAATAACTCTTTTCATATATATGCATCTAATATTTTTATATATTTCTTCCATCTTATGAAACCACAGTAACTCAATCAAAATGAAAACAGACCACTCTTCTGATATCACAGGGGTGACAGTCGTGCTAACCTCACACTTTAGGTGTTCTTGCTGTTATTTCTCCCAGAAGTTCTGAAAACCAGAATTCTGCTGTGTCACTATTTATGTAGAGAAGACACATTCTATACATAACAGAGTTAAGAGGATCAAGAATTTAGTTTTCTAATTTGTCCTTCAAGAAAAAGAGTTAGGGTTCCCCTTTATTCCTGCAGAAAAAAAAAAAAGTAAGAAGTGTGGCTGTAAGACATTCTACTCTAGAGAGACCTTCTACAACTTCTTATATAAAATAAGCCAGGCTTTTCTAACAGTGGCAGAAATGCTCAGCTACTTCCACCTCTGTGCAACCAAACCATTGTGCATCCTGCTATCCTCTAGGCCAGCTCTACTAAGTCTACTCTCCCTTCTTTTCCTACATTCTTCCTTTTCTGTGACAGCATATTGATTAGAAGTGTGATTAAAGTCCATACATTATTTTAAGTTGAAGACAGTTACACCCCAGGGCCCAAGAGGAATTCAGTTTCATGTTCTTGTTACCAAAGTGCCAGCATCCAAATGGTAACTGGACCTTCTTGCCTGTGGGCAGATAAATTAGGAAGCTGGAGGAGGGGAGAAGACAGGCTGGAAAGATTGTTCATTTCTGACCTTGTTGCACAGAAATGTGTGTTCTGTCCTACCTTGTTGGAAGTTAAATGGAAATTTATTTTAACTCTGAAGCTTTCTGTGCTTGTCTGCTGGCAATTCATTTACTGCAAGTTCACAATTAAAAGACTTCTAAAATTATTTTGTATGGGTAACTGTACAATTGCAATAGGAATAAAACGGGAATGGGAGAAAACAAGGAGGGTTTTAAACAAGAACTACACCTTAGTTGATTTTAGTCTATTCAAACATAACAGTGGACCTCCTGTGAGAGTGTTATTCAGTTGAAGGCTACATCCTTCCTTAAATGAAGAGGGCACTGAACACATCAACAGTGTATCCGAATATCTATACAATTTTAAGAATCAAGTGAGAAAAACAAAACTCTCAACTTTGACCTGCTCTCAAGTCTTTTAAATGTCTGAGGGAGTTAACTGTTGAAATTCTAGCAGACAGAAAAGTAAGATGATAGAAGGCAGGCCCTGCAGAAAAATGCTTTTGAACAGCTCATGAAAAGGTTTCAAAGCATTTCTCAAATTTGTTAGCCTCCTTAAAATCCTTCCTTGTTAGTTCTCTTTCTTCATCTTTATGCAGAAATAGACCTGTCTCACACTGGCATAGGGGCAGAGTACTGAAGAATGCTAAATGCCTCGAGTCATTCAGGCCCTGGAACATTTGGGAGAATGAGCACTGTTAAGGTGTGATCTTTGTATCAAGCACCAGCTCTGCAGCCCAGCCAGATGTTTCTGTTCTGGCAAAATATCTCAGGCACTTTCTCTTATGTCTATTAGAGAAAAGTGAGAGAGGTAGAAAGAAAGAACAAAAAGTGCCTAGGAAACCTTTGAAACCTTTTTGATTGTAATTACAGACAATTTTTCTATAGGCTTTCTTTCTAGAGATAGACTTTTCTTCCAATACTAAGGGGAAAATGGTAACCTTAATCTTAGCAGTAATGAGAAACTTGAAAAAACCTCTATGTCCACCTTCATCAGGTACTATTTTTTCCATCCAGTTGTTCTTTTCATTAATTCTATTTTGTGTTTTAATACTTTGCTACTGATTAGTAAAACTATCTGAGTAACATAGTATAACATAGATGTTAGAATTATGAAAGACAATCAGAGAAATTCAGGAAGCTTTAACTCTAGGAAAAAATATTACTAACAAATTGTAATTTGCTACAATACAAAAATAGGTATTATTGCACTCCACACCTATGATATTGAAATGCAGTAGCTTGTTGCAAATTTCAAAGCTACAGTTCTGTATTTGTAGACAGGAAAGCGTGAAAGCACCAGTTTATCCCTTTAAATCAATAGTCAATGATGCAAAAGAGTATACTGGAGAATCAGAAGGGGTTCAATAGAAGCTAAAACCCAATTACATTAGCATTGGTGAATGTGTTATGATTTTTCATGAGGTAAGTCAATACATTATATTAATCTAAAAATGCAAATTCTATGCTTTGAAAGTCAAATGTATAATACAGTCAGACTCCATAATGAAGATAGAAAAGTTTAACAAGTCAAGAGATGATGGGCAGTTAAAAAAATATAAAAGATTTAGCTTTGAAATTAATAGAATTCTATCAATGTATGTTGCACATAACATGTAAGAATGTATTTTGATAACACCTATGTGAGAGATTAAAGAGAAGTAGGACACCAAGGTTACTTCTTAAAAAAATTGGATTTTAGTGGAAGAAGTGAAGAGGAATAAAATGAGGTTGTTCTTTCTAATGCTAAACTGAATACTTAAAACTCACTGAGGTAATAGCAGCCTCTAAATACACTTATTCTTAATAATTATTTTTGAGGACATGCAGGTGTCCTGGTTTCAGCTGGGATAGAGTCAATTTTCCTCCTAGTAGTTGGTACAGTGCTGTGTCCCTAAACTGTCTCGTCTGCATTTAAACTTTTGTGACCTGACCTGACTATGAAAAAAAAAACCAAATGCAGGCTCAATACCATCTTCACCCCAAAAAGCCAGCCAGCCTTGATAATCCACATGTCAACTCAGCTGTCTTGCCTAAAATAGAGGCTAAAATACTAGACTGCCAATGCAAAAAAAAAAAAAAAGAAGAGAGAGGAGTGAGAAATGTTGGCAGAAGGTAAAAGGGGGCTGATGCATGCTTCCTCACTTGTCAGCAACTTTGGACTGCACAGTAACTAATCACAATTTGAAATATTAGGATTGATCAAAGCAAACACCTCCTTACAGGATTTGTACCACTGACTGGTAAACTCTAGTGAAGGATGGCATCTCTGCAGAGCAGTTGTGACAATCCCAGTGGCAGCATCAAAATCAATGCAATTTTAATTAACTCTAATTATATAGGTGTATGTATCCAAGTAAAGACTTGGAAGAAATTACCTGTTCGCATATTATTCCAACAACAATTTTTGTTCTTGGTCAGAGGCAACAGCACCTAAAGACAAACATGTAAATTGAGCATATAATTTTTAAACCTGGTGTCTTTTTCCCCTGAAGAAATAGCTATTGGAATGCAACTTTCAGTGTTTCTGCTAAGACAACTGTTGCACTCTAGCAGTAATGTACTGTTATATGTGAGTTCCATTAATTCACAGTTAATGGCAAACATTCAAGTCTGCTGTCAAGTTCAGCGAATCCCTGAAGGCAGAGTAAAACTAAATTCAGACTAAAGCATGTTTAAACAATGAATACTTTTTGAAAACTGTCATGCTTATTCAGAATTGTAATACCTGATGCATGTAGGCAGTCTGATTGATTCTGGCTAGCTAATTAGTTTGACAGTTGCACCTTGAAAGACACCGCACACAACTGAACCATTCCTCAGACTGCTGATTACTCAGGTAAAATCCTGGTGGTAGAATTCATCCATTCCACAAACAAGAACTTTCTAATTTGTCATTTCTCAGAGTGAATATGTGTTTCTCTTGAGTGTTCCTCGTGTCTGAATGTCAGGTGAAATTAGTAATACAAACTGAATTTTTTGAACTTGTACAATGATTTTAAAAATCTACAATAGAAACCCTCTGCCTGGACAGAAACCAATGTTCACTTGACATTGCTAAAAGAAACTTACTCTGTAGACATGCCAACTCTATAACTATCTATCCCAGCTATATTCTGTTTTCTTGTTGGGTATAGCCAAGGTTTAATGTACCAAATAGATTACTGAAGAAGTCTAACATAATAGATAATTTTCTCATGTTTGCTCTTTCTATCTTCAGAGTGTATGCAAAGTAAATATTTAAGAAAACTGTCCTCTATTGGAAGCAAGATTTTTTTTTAACCATTATCAAATAAAATAAATTATCAGCTTTATGAGAAATAGTTGTCTATACTTTAGCATTAACAGCTGATTTTCTGTAGAGGCCCATTTCAAAAGGTGTAATGAATTTGTACTTACTTTATAAGTAGATGGTTCTGGTTTTCATGGGACCTCGGGTGGCTTCTCTAGCTTTTTAACTGTACTGTCCATAGAAGACAATCTGAACTGGCAGTTCCCTGTGATACTGGGATGTAACAGCAAGGTCCCCACGCAAAGGCGTCCTCTTGAGTTGGCTCACAGCTACACTTTGCTCTGTGTACAGAACCAAAAACAATTAACACAGCATGTGGCATGAAGAAACAAATGAACAGGGGTCACTTCAGAACTAAAATCTTGTTTTCAAAAGAAATAAATCATCCTGGAGATTCATTTTTCTAGCAGTCAAGATCTGGATTCTATATGTGCTGTTAAAAAGGTTTCCAGTTTACATACTGTGGGTGAGGTTACAACAAAGACAAACACATCTACAGGGGCCAAGTACAGAATAGGGTAACACCCCGTCATGCTCACAAGATTACTTGCATATTTTTCTAGGGTTACCAGTACTAGAGTTTATTGTTAAATTCAAAATACTCAGATAATGTTGTAGATATAAATTGTATCATACATATATTTTACACAGGCATCAAAAATCTGATTTAAATTTGTGTTTTATTGGAGCAGCAGTCTTTGTTCAATTAGTTTCCCTTTTCACAGAAAGCTCAAAAAAATTGTATAATATCTAATAACTCTCATAAAATATAAACAGGATATATAACCTAAATTTCATGACTAGCTCCTGTAGTAGATTTAATTAAGATATGAATTCTTGGATTGACAAAACAGCTTGAGTTTTGCTACTGCCAAAAGGAGATCTCACATTAGGTCTCCTTCATCTTACTGTCAGTATGTACCTCAGTATCTGTGGTGCTGCTCCTGGTCTAAGTTTAACTTTTTCAGAAGATGCTTAAATTCAATGATCTGGCAGAAAATCCCTTAGGGGAAGCTGATGGTTTTCTACTGCATCAGTGTGTTAAATGGATGTGCTATGCAACTCATCATCTCTTGGGACTAGGACTAATTGTTCCATGTAAGACAAATTGTTTATAAGCTGAATGTAGAGAGCAAGACAGCTTGAGGAAGGCTGTGGGACTACTAATTATTTATTTTCAAAGTTTGTTGCCTGTGTATTCAAGGAAATAGAGGGTGACAAAGGGAGGAAGTGATAATACTTCCTCACCAATGTGAAAGCATAACTTTTTTTTTAAGTTCTGATAATAAGTATCACAATATGGGTCTAAAGATGGTTTTTAAAGAGGGGTTGCTGACAGCATTCACAGCTTTGACTTTTTTGTTTTTAAGATTGAAAAGTACATCATTAGGTAATCATGTATTTAGATGCTTTTCTCTGAGGTTGCACTCTGAACAGAAGTTGAAGTATGTATCAGTGTTCTAAAAAGAATAAACTGGACTCTCTATCTCATTAGATAATAAGATTATATATTTAAAGAAAAGGAAGCATTACCGCAGAAATTGTTCCTAATTGTTGCTAATTCTTGCTAAGTGTTGCTAATTGTTGATTGTAACTCACACCTGTGTGTGCACTGAGTTCATACTGGAAACACAAAAATCATCTGTGCACCTTTCCTGCCCTTTCCAAACTGAGTCTTCCTCTAGATACAAATATAGACTATGCTCACAGAAACTAAAAATTAAATTGTATGAATGCTGAAATGTTTATCTTCCATGTATCTTTGGAGTTTGTGAAATGTTACTTTGTATATCCAGTTAAGAGTATTTTATTCTGAAGTTTAAAATATAGCCTGTTTTGCTCTGTGCCAGCTTGTTTAAAAGTCTTATCAGTTCTACCCTTTTCCCCTCATCTTTGTCATCTAAACTGATATCAAGAATAGGAATGCATTATTTGAAATCCTTATACATGAAAGTGAGGTCACCTGTGTATACTGAGATACAGTGGTGCAAGCCTTGAACTTGTTAGATTTGTCTTTAAATGAACCTGTCTGCTTTACTCCCCATCTATTTAAATCAGAATCTGTATTGCCTCCTGCTTTTGTGTACTTTTACTGGTTAGCTGGCCTAAGCATCCACAGTACCTGTAAGTCCTAATGAGCACAGGCAGATAAGAAGCAAGCACTGAATCTGGACTTTGGTTTATGGATCTTTGCTATTCAAATATTCTTAAAATTAATCTCTATATAAATGCTCCCCCAAATTAAAGAAGATCATTTCAGTCATGGGGGTATTTCAAATATACATTGTTTGTACATTTAGATTAAGTTGCACCTTACAGCTGTCTTTGAGAATAGAATTTTACTGCACTATGTATTCTTTCTAAAAATCAAAAAAGGTAAAATCTCATTCTGCCCCAATATTGAGCTCAAATATTTGGATTATGAAAACAGTGAAGGGGAAAAATTTAAAAATTGATTATTATGCTGATTAAATATAAATTTCCTTCTGAGATGTCCTTGATACCTGTCAAGCAGTCAGTAGTCTACACCTCATACTTTCTCCAAGAGCCAGGAACTGTCCTGAAGTTTTGTTAAAAAGAGTTTTTTCTCACCTAGGTATAACTTCTCATACCTTACAGTGTCAGAAGCTCATAACTGATCATCAGGCATCAGAAAAAATCCATCGAACTGCCTGAAACTGATGCCTTGTGAAGGCTGGCCTAGAACAGAGGCTAGATGGAGTTAAAGAATAAAGCAGGGTTTTATTAAAAGACCTCAGTGGATCCACCTTGGGCCGTACAAAAGCCCAGCCAGGGCTATGCCAAGGTGAACCAAAATGGACAACTGGCCACGAGGTCTCTCTCTTTTACAAATTCTGGCTCATTTGCATATTGGAGTTAATTGTCCAATTCCAGCTTTATCCCATGAAGTCACATCCCTCTTGTTTTTCTCTCTTCAGTCCACATTGTTTATGCTCTTGAGCCTGAAATCTGGGTGGTTGTCCTTGGTCCCCAGCTAGAGCAGGAAATGTTTTGTCTCTCTGCCCTGTGAAGAAAGATCACCATCCCCTAATATGAAGCTCAGAACTACACAGTAAAGTAGTACAGAATCTGAAAAATATAAGAGCTAAAACCTAAGGCATCAAAACAAACGAGGATCTCTATAAGAAGAATTGCAGGTGAGATAACAAATCTGTATAAGAACAGTGTTTTACTCAAATTTATACACTGGAACTTCCTTTTAGGATGGAATAGCCATAGTATCACGAAATTCTGACAAAAGACAGAAAGCTAAAGCAGATGACAAATAGCTCACAAATATCAATGTGCTTTGGTTGACAGGGTAATTTTTTTTTTTAAACAGTTCTTCAAAATTCTTTCCATGGCAGTTTTCTAAAATGACAACAAATGGCTGAGTCCTCTTATATTAGAAATCCCTACAGCAAAAATTTAGGCTTAAATTTAGTTTAAAAATTTTCATTTTTATCCACTACAGTATGTCTAGGATTAATTATATACTAAAACAGGGGGTAAAGCTCCTGTCATGGTGTTGAAATTGAAATTTGAGACATTACAGTGAATTTCAGGAAAAACTTTCCATTGCCAAAATTTTCTAAGCAGCTTGCAAATTTCCATCTGAAACTCCAGTTCTATTGGATGAGATATTCATACAGACATTGGCAAAGCTACAAAGTTGAGGGTTCTGTCCAATGTAACTACTGTAGTCACACCACAGATTTGTAATTTTGAGATAGAGATTCCAGTTTAAAGCTTGTGTATGCTTATGTGAGGGGAATTATTAAATCTTACAAGGCCCTTGCATTAAAAAAAATCACTATCAGTCTTGGAAAACAACCCCCACCACTATTCTATCATTTTGTATGATTACTGTGGCAATTTTGCTTCCAAATTTCATCCCTGACTCTTGTAAGAAACCAGCTGAAATGAATGCTACTTCAAGTTTGTCTCTGCAAGGTTAGTTTTTATTGATACCTCAGTGGCAGATGTAGTGTCCCTCATAATGTCAGCTCTCAAATATCAACAATCTCAGATCCAGTAATCAGAACTCAAAATATCCATATTACAGGTTAATATACAAGGAGACAGTTTAGCACATGGTGACAGAATCAAATAGACCAGTGCCACTTAAATGATCTTGAGTTACAAAAAATCTATGTCATAGGAGTTTAGATATTTACTTTATGTGGCAGTCATCAGGAATCAAGTGTAACTATTCTTTGTAATAATGATTTTGATTTTTTAAGATTCATCCAGCACTAATAGCTGGTTGCTGCTAACGGCAGCTGTTGCAAAACACAGGGGAGAAAATTGTCAAACCCTGAATTCCAGTCTCTTTTATTTTGTCCATTTAAAGCACCAAAGTTCTTAACCTTGGGATGTTTTACTCCTTTTTTTTTTTTTTTTTTTGTGCATTTAATTTTGTATTGAGTTAATTTGTTCTACTTAAACCACGGCTTACCACAGCAAACAGGTATTCTTAACTCTGCTGGTGTAATCTTTCAGACAGGGAGAGGACAATCTGCTGAACCAAGGTAATCCCTAATCCGCATGCCGTAATCCTGCAGCTCGGGCGCGTTACGCAATCCGGCCTGCGGGGCGCGGAGCGGAGCCGTGAGGGCGGCGGCGCGCGGAGCCGTGAGGGCGGCGCGCGGAGCCGTGAGGGCGGCGCGCGGAGCCGTGAGGGCGGCGGCGCGCGGAGCCGTGAGGGCGGCGGCGCGCGGAGCCGTGAGGGCGGCGCGCGCGGAGCCGTGAGGGCGGCGCGCGGAGCCGTGAGGGCAGCGCGCGCGGAGCCGTGAGGGCCGCGGCGCGCGGAGCCGTGAGGGCAGCGGCGCGCGGGCTCCGCCGGGCCCGGCGCGGGGGTCGCGGGGGGCGGGGCCGGGGGCGCCGCCGGGCGCGCGCCCCGCAGTAGTACTACGGCGCGCGCCGCCCGCCGCCGCGATTGGCCCGGCCGCGCCCGCGTGACGCGCAGCGGACGCGCGCGCGCCCCCTCCGCTCCCGCGGACCGACCCGCGCGCCGGCCCCGCGTTTCCAAGGCGACCCGGCGGGAGCGGCGGGAGGCGCGCGCGGGCGGCCCCGGGTTCCTCCCCGCGCGGCCGCCGGTCCCGCGCGGGGCGCGCGCCGGGCGCTGGCGGCGCGGGTGCCGCGGGCAGCAGGTACGTGCGGGGAGCCCCGGGGACAGAGCTGCGAGCGGGGAGCCCCGATCCGCGCCGCGCCCGAGCCGCGGGACCGCACCGCGCTCCGGCGCGGGCGGCGGGTCTGTGCCGTGCCCCATCGCGGCCGTGCGCGGCTCGGGGATCCCGGTCCCTCCGCCTCCCGGGGCCGCCGCACGCCCCACCGTCCCCGGAGTCGGGCGGGGTGGCCCTGCGGGCTCCCTGCGCCGCGCTGGCGGGGGCCGCGCTGGCGGGAGAGCCCCTCCGCGGCGGACAAAGTTTGGCGGCGGGCGCCGCCTCCCGCCAACTTGCCGGCGGTGGGGCCGGGGGCCCGAGGGCGCTGTGCTGCGGGCCGGCCTGCCGGGGCCCGAGCCCCCTCACGCAGGGACAGCCGAGCCGCGGCCCGGCCGGGGGCGGTGCGAGGATCGCCTCCGCCTGTGTTGCGGGGCCGCGGCCGCGGTGTCGCAGCCGGAGCGGCGCTACAGCGGGGACTGGGGAGCTCCCGGCGCCCGGGGGCAGCGCTCGGACGGGCCCGGCTGGACAACTTCGGACGTGCGGATTCCGAATAGGAACAGCCCCGGTAATGCCTGAGCCTGAAAGTTGCTTTTATTGTTTGTTATGTGCAAACCCACCCAACGGTGGTGCCTCAGCAGTGTCTTCACGCAAGAGTACTCCGTGTCTGTAAGGTGCTGCATTGCTTCTTGGAAACCCCCTGCCCTGAAGTAACATCTTCCTTGCCCCAGCGAGAAAAGGAATAGTAGTTTCTTTTCTGGAGTTGGAATCCATTTAGAGTGCTCTTTACTAGGGAATTTTCGGTTTGCCTTCCATAAGATGTAATAAACTTAATAGGCCTTTTTTGTTAGATTTGTAGAGGTGAAATCTAAATTGTGGGGATTGATGAGCTGTAATGGGACAACATGTTATAGTAACTTCTCTTAAAAATAGTAGTACGCAAGCATTCCTGATTTCAAAGCTTGTTGCTATACTGAAGTTAGGAAAAGGTTCTGCTAAGCGTGTCTCCAGAATTTCTTGGATCTTACATGAAGGTTTAGGAGGAAACCAGTCTACAAGCTCTGTATTAGAGCATGCACCTGACATCAGATGTAACAGCTGCAAAAGATTGTATGTGTAAAAGAAGTAAAATGAGTAATGGTGTAGGGGTATTTACAGCTCTGAGTGCAATCAGCAGAGAAGGCTTATTTGTCTGAGTGCAGGGCACCTTTCACAGGCACACAGTCAGAAACTGCTGCTTTGCTATGTGACTCTTAGGACTCCTGCTATTTTTGCAACACTTATTACTGGAATTTGCACAAGGAGGGGTAAGCAACCTCTGTACTTTTAATGTGCTGTAATAATATTACTATCCAAGTGTAGACGAATTACTATCCAAGATTAGATGAAACAATACTGATAATTTTTGATAGCTCCTGTGAAGATGCTGTGAGTTCCTGCAGGACACTTGTGAAAGGGTTATTGCCACCACAGTCATGTTAGGTGGGGGTTATAAATTAGACTGTACAATAGTAGCACATAGGTGCTTTGCAGTGGGATACTGCAATTAGCATTGTGCACCAAGTATCTTGTGTGGTAAAACGTGTATCTTGATGTTGTGAACAATGTCTGTCTTGCGAGGCAGCATACTCTGTGCAAAGAAGGGGAGGAATGCTTCTCATTTACAGAGGATGCAGAATGAGAAGTGTGTGCAGCTGCAAACGTGCTGTGGTTCCTGAGTGTTGGGAAGAGTCCACAGTGAGGGGATGGTGTAAGCAAGGAGCCCATTCCCGAAGCAATGCATGCGCGTACTCATCTTACTCATTCCTCTGTGCATCTGAACAATGTGGAGTTTTTGCAGCTTTGTCCTGATGCTACGTATTGCAAAATTGTTTAGGGCAAGATGCTGTTTTCGCCTGAAGGGCGAAAAGAGGTGGAAGTTGAACACAAATTTAGATGTGGTTGTCGGGTAGTAATTATGCTAAAGACAGCAGTGGACAACAAGGATGTGAAGCAAGAGTACACATCTGCTACTTCAGCCGCAGAACTGGAGTAGTAGGTGAGATAAAGATCTGAACTCACACTGGTTTATGAAAAGGCCAGTAAGAAAATTAAGATCTGAGCTACGTATGCTTGCAGTGTGAGTACCAGGGCAAGCCTGCTACTCAGCTGAAGTATTTTCAGGTCTTGACTGACAGCGTAAATGCAGAGCATAACAATGTAGCTGTCTCCCCTCTCGCTGTGCCAGTTCCCAAAGGTTAGCTGGATGCAAGTGTGATTACAGTTCTGAAGGTGCCCTGTACAAGATGCTTAGAGTTCATTAAGCTTTGCCTCTCCTGGCCCCCAGTACTAGTGTGCTGTTCCACCAGCTTGGGTTCAGTGGTGACTCCCCAAACCTGGCTACCTGGCAGCTTGCTGCTTGTCTCTGATGGTCTCTCCACTGCGGAGTCTGACGCTGCAGTGATATTGCATCACAGGTTAGTTTGAGCACGGCGGGACAGAACTAGCAAAATCTCCAGCATGATGAAGCGCGTGGTTTTCGTGTTACTACACAGTCCAAATTAGGAGGAGAAACTGCACTGTCCTGCGAGATCCTAACATGACTAAAATTTACCTGCATCATCAGTATTTGTTTAAATTAGTTGCATTACCTGGCAATAGCACAAGAATTAATTGAATTGTGTTATGCAGGACAAAACTGCATCTTTTATCAGGGCAGCAAATGGGGTGTTACTTCAGTTACAGTGGTGCTCAGCTAAACTGCTTCCTGGACAATGGGGGTAACTAACAGAAAAAATACTTTATCCCTATGAGCACTGCAGAACCAATATTAACATAGGAGACTAAGCTGGAGTACTTTCTGCCACATGTGTTAATGTCTGAAGTGTCCAATAAGTGGCATCTGAAGAATCTACAGTGCTAGTTCGTATATGAGAGGAGGACTGAGGTTTGATTCCTCCTTTTCCTCTGCTCTGGTTCTAGAGTGATACTGTGTGCTGCTGAAGGGTATTTGCCACACTCTTGTTAGGCTCAGTAATATGAGGATAAGTCTGGAATCAGTGGTGTTAAAAAATGCGGAGTTTTGGATTTTTTGACTTGGAAAAAATTTCTGAACTTTTGAGAGTATTTTTGTAGTGTAGGTGGGTATGAGCATACTTGGTGAAATGCCATTTTCGAGAAGAGTAAAAAAAATAGTAAAAGGTTGGCTTCTTACTGCTTCGGGGTAGAACTTTGCTGTTGTTCATTCTTTGGCTCCAGAGGTTTCTGTCCAAGGTGAATTGAAACCTTTTTTCCTCCAGATTCCTAGCTGGTGTGTTGTGGGCAGCAGCAAGGTTACCTCAGTATCTGTCATATTTCAGCCCACCCATTTGCTGGGCTTTGGATTTGGTGTGACAAGTTGATGTATTTGGTTTGATTCTTAAATAATTTAGTTACAGGGTCCCAGTGAAGCCTGTTGCCTCCATGTAATCCCGTTGAAATCACTGGGTTTGCATGAATAGAGTGAAGTCAGGTCTTGTAAATGCAAGTAGCAGTGGAAGTTTTCTAATGATACTTGTTAATAATGTTTATCAGCTAAGCATTATCAAATGCAACATCACCTTATTTCTTGGTTTATTCCTCTGTCTCACTTGCATTTTATCATGTTCTAGAGTTCAGTGTTGCTTTGATGTGTTTCAACCAAAATTTCTTTGGGGCAATTTTTGTATCTTTCCTTGCATCTGTAAAGCACCGTGTGTGCCTATAGCATCACACACAAATGAAACTACTTTTGAAAATGAATGTTCGAATCCATTGGTTGCAGAGTTAGATTTGTAAGTCAGCATATATCTGATTGAGGGTTGTGCAGATACAGTTCTGTGTTACCAGCTACCCTGGTCACTGAATGAGGCAAGACTTTGCAGGAAGAGTAGTATGTGATCTTAATAGTTGAGAGGAGGATTAATGCAAATGGAGTTAAGTAATAGACTGTTCTAAACGTGGTGCTTCTGAATTTTCAAGAGCTTTACTTTCAGCCCAAATAACCTTCTTGCAGGGAGGCTAAGCCTCCCAATACCAAGAGGTTCCATGTTAGAAACTAATATGGAACCTCTTGGTATTGGGAGGCTTAGCCCCTTTTGTGTGTTTGCTTGGTTTGGGTTTTATTTTGTAAAATTACACTACATGGAGGTATAAACTTCCCTCGTTGACTTGAAAAAATCCCTAATTGGGATTTGAGCCTTCAGTGGTGATTTCTAATTCGGGTAATTGCCATATTTGGTGAGGTTGTTACTGGATGAATGGGGAGAGGACCTTTGGGTTCTGTGCTTTGTGTAGGGTAGCAAGAGGTGAAGTCTGACCTTTTTCATCCTGGTTTCTGCTGTGTCCTGCCTCTGCTTTCAGCCTCAGCAGCCTGCCAGTGCTGGCAGCACACTTGCCTGTGCTCTGTCAGAGGCGCCCCGTGCCCAGCTCTTTACACAGGGAGTTTGTGTCCATTTGGATTGGCTTTTGAGAGACCGCCGAATACTTGATTAAAAAGGCAAGCAGGCACAGGAAAA